TTGAAATTTTAGGTAGAAAATAATCACAACTGTTTTCACGTAATGAAAATAAATAAATACTGTCTTATTTGACCCACAATAGTCGATTGATTCTTGGATACGATATTAAAATAGAGCCATTTGAATACTAATTTAAATATTCAAATTTGATATCCCAGCGAATATGCGTAAAATATGCAAATAGTAAATTGTTCGAACAGTCGAAATGCAGATGCGTTTGTAGTTTCGGCGCTGGTATTTGTCAAGCGTCCGTACACGTGTAAACTGGTGCACTGATACACGCATAAACTTAACCATCTCGCTGCTAAGTAATAAATAGTTAAAGCACGTATACGCACGAAGTGAGCGGGCTCTGGCCAAAACACGTGTACACGCGAAATAAGCGGCTCTGCTTGCAACACACGTACACGTGTATTTAATGCACGCGAAATAACGGCCTGTGTTCTTTGTGACGGATTACACGGGCACACGTGTTACGTGCACCTATATTGAACGACCGTAAAAAATACTGATCATCAGCACACATACGTTCGTTCCATTCATTGACCGTTTTGTTAATTGTAAATTGAATAATGGATGTAAATGAAATTGTGTCAAATATATATTATACTTCAACGAATGATACGATATATTTCGAACAGACCAATTAACACTAGAACTACCGACAATTATAGTGTGTTTATTTGTACCAAGGAAATTGAAACGATAGACACGCGAAGAAATATATAATGCAATGAATTATTCTCTTATAGAAAATTACGATTTTTCAAAAATTCAGTCGAGTAAATTCTTTACAAGTTTTATTAGAAATGGGTAATTTTGACTGGTTTGGTAGTTCTAGTATTAATATTATGTACGAGCGTTAAATTTCACGATTTATTTTATTTTTCAATTATCAACACGTTCACTGTTCGTGACACGTATATGGGGCACACCGCCGTGCTATTCGATACGACGCTGAGACATTGGACAGTGAACGTGTTAATGTTACGTAGGAGCGTAAAAGTCGAGGAATTCTTGACAAAATTGTAAAATAATAAAACTGATCCAGGAGTTGGGTACTAGACAACCGTAATTCCCTGTTTATTCTACTCATATTATACATTTTTTACATCGTTAACCCGTAGGCGGCTCGAACCGAATTAAATTTAAATTTTAAATTTAATTTCTGAGAACTTGCTCGCCTCCCGTACCGAATAAAAAGTTTCCAAAAAAAGAGAGAAAAAGAGAATTCTCTGGAATTCCCCAGACGGTGGTAACAAGGTATTGCGGACACCGTGCTTTGTCTGTAACGAATATGACCATCGTGGCCCTTATTTTCATCGTTTTCTTAAATGGCTGATGCACGGACACCTGGTATCTTGTTATATGCAATCTCGTTTCTTTCGTTGGTTCGCCAGCGATTTACGAGTCACTTGTTGATGGCTGGTCGAGTAAACGAGCGCAGAATCGCGATGGTTCTGGTGCACATTGTCTAATAGCGTTCCAGTGGCCTTTGAAGGCGATCGCGAGGAGGAAATTGGCGAAAAGGTCGACGAGGAGACGATCGTCTATCTGGGACGCACGAGCAAGACACGAGGCAATTAAATAACTGTATAACTTGTGCCATACATTCTCCCCCGGGCACGCGAGCTTGTATCAAGCGTTTCCTCTCGTTCCTCCCGTTTCACGTGCTCTTTTCCCCGTTTCTTTTCCGTGACCAACGAGAACGCGTTCCTCGAGATCGTTCCTGTGGCCGCGCGCAGCTATCGCGATACCGTTAACAATAATCGACGCTCACTAAACCGAATTATTACCGAACGCCTGCCACCAGGAAACCGATGTCGACCAATCGATGTCGTTAATAAGGTGCGCGTCCCGATTACCCGGTTACACATTTTTCTACGATTCGGCGCCGTGCGAGCGGAGAGGACGTTGAAAAATGAACGATCTTTTGCGTCGTTTGGAAGCGAAAACATCAACTAGTCGGATGATGGAACATTGAGACGAATTGGACAATTTTAATTCGTGTCATTTTTCAGTCTGAGTGTGTTAAAATTGTTTTTTAATGGGGCATGAACCACTGGCGGGTCACGCGACCGCCAACGTGTTTTCTGAGAAACGAAAAATATTCTTATTTTTTGCCTCGTATAGTTCGCAACGAAACGAGTAATTTTAATTCGGATTAATTGTCAGTCTGAGTATATCAAAATGGTTTTTTAATCCAGGCGTGAGCCACATGTGGGTCACGCGACAGCCAACGCGTTGTGAATGCTTACTATGAAACGAAAAATATTCTTATTTTTTGCCTCGTATAATTTGCAACGAAACGAGTGATTTTAACTCGGATTACTTTTCAATCTGAATGTATTGAAATTATTTTTAAATAGAGTCATTAAATACTGTCATATGTGGCTGGCAGAATCTATCACTATGGAGCTAACAAAATTAACTTTGACGTCAGAAGAAGGGTCACAAATACAAGTATAGCAGTCTTGCATCAAAATTTATATATTAAAATTGTTTTTGAAGAAGACGTGTACCACCAGGAGGTCACGCGACAGCCAACGCATTGAGAATGCTTTCTGAGAAACAAAAAATATTCTTATCTTTTGCCTCGTATAGTTTACAACGAAACGATTGATTTTAATTCGGATTAATTGTCAATCTGAGTATATCGAAATTGTTTTTAAAGAAGACGTGTACCACCAAGAGGTCACACGACAGTCAACGCATTTAGAATGCTTTCTGAGAAACGAAAAATATTCTTATTTTTTTGCCTCGTGTAGTTTGCAACGAAATCAGTAATTTTAATTGGGATTAATTTGCAGTCTAAGTACATCGAAATTGTTTTTAAAGAAGACGTGTACCACCAGGAGGTCACGCGACAGCCAACGCATTGAGAATGCTCTCTGAGAAACGAAAAATATTCTTATTTCTTGCCTCGTGTAGTTTGCAACGAAATGAGTAATTTTAATTCGGATTACTTTTCAATCCGAGTGTATTAAAATTATTTTTGAAGAGGCCGTGTACCACATGTGGGTCACACGACAGCCAACGCATTGAGAATGCTTTCTGAGAAACGAAAAATATTCTTATTTTAATTCGGATTACTTTTCAATCTAAGTGTATGAAAATTATTTTTGAAGAGGACGTGTACCACATGTGGGTCACGCGACAGCCAATACATTGGGAATTCTTTCTGAGAAACGAAAAATATTCTTATTTTTTGCCTCGTATAGTTTGAAACGAAATCAGTAATTTTAATTCGGATTAATTTGCAGTCTAAGTACATCGAAATTGTTTTCAAAGAAGACGTGTACCACCTGTGGGTCACGCGACAGTCTACGCATTGAGAATGCTCTCTGAGAAACGAAAAATATTCTTATTTTTTTTTGCCTCGTATAGTCGTACGATTAGTTGATTTTCAAAATCGATTTCCTAGAAAATAACGAATTTTTACGCTACATTGAAAGATAAACATGCGAAACTAAAATTTCATATTCGATGAAAATAATCATATTTTTTTCGTACAATTATTTTGCCATATACTCTCGTGTACACATATACAATACGACGGAAGTTTCCATCAGGAAAGCGGTAAAATCTCGGAGCAAGTTCACTCTACCGATATTAATGGCGGAATACATCGCGTAACAAAGTTTCAGACACGATATCCGTGAAATGTTCACGCGAAATGAAAATAGAACGTGTACGGCGGTTCGGTACAGAAGGCTGAGCAATTTGCGATTCGCGGTACACGATGTAGGTGGAAACATTCGGTGCAGATAGTGGAAATTTTATTTAATTTTCAGGATAAAACAAATCCGCGCGACTCTGTTAACCCGGCGAATACTCGCGCGGTGTAAATTTCGTCGCTCGTCACACGCTGCACGGCAAAGCCTCGGTTAATCCGCCATTACGGCAGGTAAAATTGCCAAGGGATAAAAAAAAAAAATATGAAAATATTTGAAAAATTATTTTCTCGTATGCAGTGCAGCTTGCACCATTGGTAATTTGAAGTATGGAAATATAAACAAAATTATTAACGTTATAGCCTATCTAAAATCACTCGAGCAGCAAACTGAATCGAAAGTCTGATAATAATAACTACGGTTACGTCATATAATTACGAATAATAAAAAGACAGTTATATAATAATTATCACTAGTCCTGTTATACAACGGGGTCGTTTCAATTTAAAACAGATTTTCAAGAATTGGCAATTATTTCATTGGAAATAGGTTCCCCGAGCACGTAATACCAATTAAATCGATTAAAAGCAGATTCCAAACATTAAGAAAATTGCCTCGCGCGAGAACCATTATGCATATCCATCCTATAATAATTTTATATTAATATAATTTCATTTTTAAACGTGCATTGAATCTAAATGAAACGACTCGAGATCCATTGAAAATAATTTACTGAAAAGCAGTTCAGAAAATTAAATACGCGCTAGACAAAAATTTTATAATATAGCTGCATAAATGAAACGAAGAATTTATCGTATCGTTAAAAACCCGATATCAACGAGAGCTCGAAGTAATCTGCAGGAAAATACGAATAAAAGAACACCGAACACGGAAAATGTTTTAACTAAAATTACGCGGATAATAAAAAGATTCTAACGGGGCCGCTCGAATAGCGAATCAACTGGTAAAATAATTCTGCATTCCGTGCGCCCGGATCGGCTAATATCACTTTTCACGCGAAAATCTACGCACGCAACACACTCTGTCGTTTAACGATTACCTCGACAAGAATTTTCGCGAATTTCAACGGTCGAAACAATCGAACGGAACGGATCGTTGATCGTCGCGATAAATGACGAAAAATTCATTACACGCAACGCGGAAATGCCACCCGGTTTAATTATCGATATCCGTCGCGAAGCTCTCGAAAATTTTAACAACGCCCACGTACCCGAACGTTTGTAACCGCGGCTTGAACATTCTGGGCACAGAATCTATAAAACGTTCGCGAATCGAATGATTTGAGGTATAATAGTTTGGACTTACATATGCAGCACACGCCGAAACCGAGTGCACACGGTCCATGGGACTTTCCTTGCTGAATGCGGCACTCATACGTGTTCATGCATATGCCTCGTCGTCGTTTGTCCTGGGACAGACACTCCTCTTGCACGGGGATGGGAAAGAAGTTTAGAACTGCAAGGGGTTGCAAACGTGAGAACAAAAATAACAAAAGGAAATGACAAAATTGCGCTCTACGATACAACGTTTCACTTACGATCGCTTTTTTAACCTCAAAAACTCTCAAAGCCGCTTTTAAAAAGGATTTTAGACTCCACGCGATCGAACAAGAATTTCTTTGCACCTTCTTATGACTTACAAGCCTTAAGAATGTACCAGAAAAATCTTAGGTTATTTCTAAGACTGCGAATCTTTATGCACATTTATATTCTTAATTAATATGAATTAATGAAGTAAGAGAGCTTTGTAGGGGATTGTCTCCATCTCTAAATAGAATAATTCTCACCAGTAAGACGATTCTAGCAAACTCTGTTTTAGGCGCCGAGATATTAGATGATTGGTCGAGGAGCGTATGTACAAACTGTCGATCGAGTGCTTGCGTGGGACACAAGAGTGTAGCCCTCTGGTGGCGAGTACGAGAAGTAACGCCACACTCGTGTTTCTTATATTTTTGCATATTAAATGCATTCTATAGTTTCTCGAAAATTGAAAAGGCCTGAATTTTTGTACCCAACGACACGATTAAGGATATTTTTACGCAATGTTTTCTAAAGCAAAACTCTAGCTACAGTCTTCTATCGTTTGAGATACGGGAATTTCACGGGGCTCAATTTCAATGTAACTGTTAGAATTCGTGAAATTTAAATGCGCACGAGAACCGTTTGCCCGCAGCGCTCTTGTAATTCATGAATATTATAATTAACGCTACCTGAATCTTGTGCTCATGGAGTGTTATGCGCTTCGTTCCATGTAGCAAAATTGCATTCTATTCGGATTGATAAACATGGGTAATGAATAAACAATTAGCGAAATAATTCATGGGCATTCGATATTTGTGGTAAGAAATTATCAAATGCAATTGTCACGTTGAGTTCAGGCGCGTTTCCAAACTTTATTTATTAAATCACGACAGCGACGAAAAATAATTTCAAGCACGTCCATCTGTGGTATTTTGCATCGTTCGGAAAACAATTGAATTTTTCGACGAGCTGGTTTTTTAAATGCATAAAACTGCCCGCGTCAGCGTTCGACGCCATCGTCATTATTCAATCGCGACGCGTTGAAAAATTGCGCTGTTGCTGAAAAAATACGATATCCGCGCGAAGTCCGAACAATACGTCGAATAAATTTTAATTATAGAATTATTGCGTCAGACTTTCAATATTTTCGCGACTCGAAACGTATTTATAATCGAATGAATAAATAAATAAGAACAGGGAAGAGAGACTGAGCCAGAAAATGGCGGCCTAGAAGCTTACCCCTCGAGATGGAATATCTGTCGAAAACGTTTCCATCGTACGGTCTTTCGACGGTTTGGGTAAGATGAGGACTCGTGTTAGAACTCGGCCACAGATTGAATCCCAACAACGACCACTGATGCGTGTTCAACGGGAAGGCGAGCAGAGCGCAAACACTGCTCGACATCCGCGATAAAACACTCCACCGCACTTCCGTCGAGAACACGACGGTCGTCAGCGCGACGAATTGCACGAGGACGATTGGAAAATGCCTGAGGACCATGATAGGAAACGGAGGTGTGTGTATATAGTTCTCACAAATCTGGAGAACGCGAGCGAAAGACGATGACCGACTGACTGACCGTGCAGCAGCCACCGGGGGCCCAACGCACGTTGGGCCCCTTCTGCTACGGTTGAGAGTACTATACCAGGCGTTACCACTACTGTCGATGACTTGATTGCAAACCTCCTCTTACGATATTGAGATCATACTCTCGGTATGCATCTTTCCAGACCTGTCCTCGCGGTCCACTTTCCGTGGCCACGAACTGGAGGACAACAACCAGAGTTTACCACTTTCACAGAGCTCGATATAAAAAATATATTTTATAAATAATAATTTATAACCTTATTCTCTGATATCCGAGCGAGTAGGTCTACAAAAATTTAATGGGAGATTCTGGAGGTTAAAATAAGACGAAACTCAAGAATAGTAATTTGTTAATTGAGGCTTCGTTTAAAAGTTATTATCGTTTAAAGTTGCACGTGTGAGACGGTAACCTGCGAACAGTTGCGTAAGCACGGTAGTGGTTCTCACTCATAAAACTGTGAGGCTTTCGATACGTCAGTAAGTAGAGTTTCTCATGTTGAGTGAGAACCACTGTTGCCATTCTACAGACGAAACTTTAAACATTAATAACATTTTAACGAAGCCTCCATCAACAAATCGTTATTCTTGATTTTCGTCTTATTTTGGCCTCTAGAATCCCCCATTAAAATTTTTCTCTGAATTGGCCGAACACCCTGTATAGACTGACTCATAGAAAATGACCCCTATTGTATAGATTGACTCATAGAAAAATAGAAATATTTAACAACGGTGAACTCGATATTCTACGCTATCATCGTTAAAATATTAAAACAAACAAATCACTGGCAACGCCTCAAATAACAAATTAAATTGATTTTCGTCTTATTTTGGCCTCTAGAATCTCCCATTACAATTTTTTCTTGTGGGTTCACGATCTGCTGTTTCTACTTCCATCAGAGTTGTGGGTGGCCGCCATTTATAGTAATTGTCTTATCTTCGGCCCGCATAACCTCTTTGATTTTGACTCATCTCAAATTGTTAAAGGTTAGGTTTCGTGATTGTTTAAGGTTAGGTTACCTATTGGAGATAAAATTATGATCTGTTTATATTCTGGTCGAAAGATTTTCAATAATAATTTGTATCTTTTGCTATGCAGTCTTCGAGATAGCATAACACGATGCACCCATTTATCAAAGTACCACGCGTACGAGAACCAATTTGTCCCGACTTCCAACGTTTCATTCGTGTGTGTTCGATTTCTCTTTGGCCTTATCGTTCCTAGTTTTGTCTCCCGTTTCGATCATTCGTCGTGAACTCTCGCTTATTACAGTATCTACGCATTCAATTCCAACTCGTGATATTCAAAGCTACGAACGTCTACCCGCATTCTAAAGGGCTTGCACAATGAACGTGTAATTGTCGTGTAATAATCGCAATTTACTAGCCGTGTAAGCCTGGTTCGGACACGTCCAGTAATTCGATCGAGTCACAATGTTCTAAAATAAATTTTCAACAGACGATCAGTTTAATAGAACAGTAAAATTATTCTAATGAAGAAAAAATTATCGATGTAAAGCGTGTAGATTTTTCGCAGTCAAAGGATTAAAGCAACGAGATTTTCTGCTTTTGCAGCGAAATAAAATCAGCAGTACTACCAGCTGCATTTGCAAACAGGAGCAGTTAGTCGATTTTTATTGACTTTTACTGCTAAAGATTCGTACAAACAAACCGATGTTTCCCGTCGCAATATTTTCGATAGCAAACCAATCACATCTGCGTTGCACAGACTGAACCGTCTAAAACGGGACTTTTGGCAATTGAAAAAATATATTCGATCTGTTTGGCGTCGAATCGATTGATAAATAAACAATGAACAGTCTCAAAGATAGAGACGTTCGCTGTAATTCATAAAAAGTACAGTTCATTTTCCTTCGTACGATTTTTACGGATGATAAAACCTGGAAATTTACGTAACGTAGAATCAGAGTCACGAAACCATCAATGCCAAGCATAAAAATACTGCACTTCAGATTTTATCTACCGTAAATATCACGTATTTGCATATTTATCTATTCGTTAAACTATACACAGTTCGTTGACAGATTTCAATGATTATGTGTCTATGCACACTCAAAAAATACAATAATATAATATAAATACCTTGATTAAGCATGTTTCACTTCTATTCATGAATACTAACCTACCCCCAAAGTTTTCGATTCACTTTTAACCTCCTTCATATTATATAAAACGTTCGAACAAAGTATACTTGTTCTATAGGTATCACAGTATATCGAATAAAATAATAATTCATTAAATGAATGTAAAAAAATAAACTTTGAAAGAGTAAAAATAATTACGGACACGTACAGGTGTCTGGACCCAACATGGCGTCGAAAAAATAGGAAAAAGATAAAGTTGGTAAGATTGTTTTCTACCAAGAATTAATTACCGAGCACGACCTCTTTATGCGGGCCAGTCATGCGCAGTCCTATGCTCGTCGAATATTTCTCTTTCGATATGGCCACCGAAAGGTTTTATCGAAAATAGAATTAATAAAATCAAAAGTCCGCACAGAAGAGATTGCTAACCGTGACCCGTCGCATTCTGGTAATTTGGTAAGTCAGTTCCACTCTTTTGTATCCGTTTAGTTTTGGACATTACGATTTAGGCATAAGCTGTCCGAAATACATGAAAAGTATTTATAGGAAGGGGAAGATTAATTTAAACCAAAGGATCGCCATTTGGCCATGATCGTTTGGTTGCTAAACATTAATTGCGCGAGTGAATTTGGTATAATGTTTATGTTATCGAATGTCTGTGGAATACGGTTAGTCGGATAACCTTTTGGTTGCGCGTATTACAGGTTCTTCCGTGACTTCCACCAATGATTTTGTTGTTCTTATGTTATTAGCGGTACAATTTGTTTAAGTAAGCACCGCTTAATAAAAAGACACACATCATTTACATGTCTTGTTCATTATCCTGATACGATGAGACTCGCAGCACATTACCCACATTAGCTGTGTCGATTCCAATTATAACATGATTTTGTTTCAACATAAACGGCTATGGTTTTCCTCGTTTGAATATATATATTTATATATATATATATACGTACCTATTGCAAAGTTATTCTAATTCTTAACTTTGCGTGATATTAGTGTCTTTGTATGGTGCACTCTGTTTAATGTTTTGTGGTACTTGTGCATCCTGGAAACATTATTGGATATATGAGGTTTCCTTTCTGTCGGTAAGTAGCTGGGGATTGATTGTTATACTCCAGCAAAATTACAAATAATAATACTAATAATAATAATTATATCGTTTAGTTCTTACATTAAAGAACAAAAATCGAGCATCGTTTAATGTCGATCTTAGAATTATAAGTTAATGCGTATCTGTAGAATTGCTGAAAACATCTTTTCAGCAATATTATAGGCACCAAACTGTCCTTCTTTAAATGCAAATTTGTGATTATGCTTTAGTTTAGTTTAGTATAAAATTAAACTACGTATATAGGAACTTCACGTTTAGATAATGTTACATGTGTATATATAAACTGTTTAAATATATTAGCTCATACAACTTTGAACTGGTAAGTATAGTTCATTAAAATTTGTTAGCTTTATTAATAATAACATTTATCACAGAATTTATGGTAAGGAAATTAATTATTGCTGCTATAGGGTTGGCTCATAAATTAATAGCAAATAATCCCGATATTTATTTCTAAAATCGAAATCACATAAAGCGTATTTATTTCTAGAATCATTTTTTAATCAAGAATTTCATTTCATATAGCGTTATCCTTGTGTAGATACTTTGTTTTTATATACCATTTGTTAATTTTTGTAACGTCTGGCCAACCCTAATGCTGCATTTTTTTCTTTCTCGAACCTTATGACAGTTTTGTATTTTCAGAAACCACGGTGAGGATTTTTACACAGAAGTGGTACAGCCATGCAGAATTTTGACGATCTTGATATAGAAGGTCGTAATCCTACTCATTTATCGGAGGCGGGCAAAGAGAAGGTAATGTACACCACAAATTGTACGCATAAATATTGTACTTGTAATTACTACCTAAAACAGTTTTAGAATATTTGTGTTATCTGTATTTTGAACATATATTTATTAAGTCTAGATATACGTGTACGTTGTTTTTATATTATTGTATTGATTGACTGTTGTTTGTGCGATAGAAACAGAATTATGATGTATTCAAATTGATCACAATTTTCAGTATTCATTATTGGAGACACCTATGCTTTTTCGTTTGAAAAATAAATTTAATATTCCAGTAATCAAAATTACTAATACGTTTTGTGCGTTCTGTGATAAATTCTTGAAACAACAGTTATTTGTTCATTTTATCAAGTGTTTGCATTTCGCAGGAAGAGTTTGATCGAAAGCGTTTAATGAGGAGCAGCGTCACTGCCGAAGATGGCACGCTTAGACCCGTGTACTCGGAAACTGAAGATGGCGATATATGGTGTCATATATGTAACATAGCTCTGTTCGGGGCTCATAAATTACTAAATCATAACATGTGTAATCGTCACAAAATGAAATTAGACGAATGGCCATATCCAGTTTTATTATGGTCCAAACGATCGGACATTGTAAAAACAACTCCACCTGCACAGTCGACCACCATTGGTGATAGTCTAGCACCTGGAGAACCAGTACCACCTGGTATGGAGGACCAAATAACAAGAACAACAACAATCCAAACGAGTCTCGATCGACATAGAAGTTCTCCTCTCGTTGGTCTCGAATATCTACTCGAACTAGTGGATAATGATTCCTGTGAACCCAGTTATACGTGCGTTTTATGTGATAAACGGGGTGATCCCCGTACCGTCATGGCTCATATAACCAGTTATAATCATAGAATAACGTATCTAAACAGACATTTTCCAACTATATCGCGAGCTATTACGGAATTACCGCGTACTCCCAATTATAAACGCGGGGCTAATGAAATATCGGTGTTAGTGGCTAAGAAGATCGAAGAACGATTTGGAAGATTGCAGCCTCAGTTGGTAGACAAGAATCAATTTGAAAAGAACAAAATGCAGTATATCAAGAGAGTCTATCATGATTATCATTTTAGGTAAGTTGTAATACGGTTATTTCCACTTTATGCGTTTGAGCGTATATGCGAATTGGGTATCTCAGTTCGCGTGTTTTGCGAATGTTCGATGAGCGTGATTTAACAAGACGGTAATTTTCCATTTCCTTAAAATCAATGGCTGTTTCCTACGTGCAGGGAAACGCCAGAGTTAACATTTATGGATGTTTATGATGTGCGATGGGTAACAGACTTTGAAGAAAAGATGGCTGAAATCGCTGGTAACAGTGGTGTGAAGAAAGGTGAGTGTGGAATGGATTATATTCTTAAGATAAGGTGTTTGCGCCTTAAGCATTTAATTGTTTAATGATAATCTTGTATTAAGATTGTCAACCTACCGATGAGAAACCAGATGATAAACATAAAAGTGAAGACAAGAAACATGAAAAATCATCACCGAAGAAAACAGAGTCCAAATCAGAGACTACAAAATCGTAAGTTGATATTTCCATTGAATTATATTAATGGAATATTTCAATAACTGTGTTTCAAAAGCTCTTCGATAAGTCCCAGAAAATTAAATCGTTAAGTATATGTTTTGTCTTTTTTAGGGGATTCAAGATTCGTATTTTCACAAGGGATAAATTAAATATCCGTAAACCGTTAGACAAAGAGGAAGAGCCCGTGAAAAAGTCTCCCAAACGTCCCTCCGACGAAACTAAGTCCCTCTCGTCGCTCTCGAGCATATCGAGCAGTCCGTCGCCGTCGCGTTCAAGGTCACGGTCGCCGATTCGTAGTCGTAAGACCAATTCGATAGACAAGGGTGGAAAGTATCGCGTGAAACCGCGATACTCGCGGGACCGGACGCGATCGCACACGCGCTCGCATTCGCGGTCCCCGGAGCCGCTCAGAGAACGAGACAAATGGGACAAGTATCGCGAGCAGATCAGACGCGCCGAAGAGACGCTCGATCGCGCGTTGAAATTTCACGAGAAGAACCCGGAGAAGCATCCCTCTTACCCGGCCGAGTGGAAGAAATTTTGGAACAGGCGGTACAAAGAGTTGCAAGCGGAGGGCAAGGATCCCAGTAAGCACGATTTCAAGCCCGAGTGGATCGAGTTCTGGAACAAACGTATGCGGGAGATCCATAACGAGCAATTGCAACAGCGGAAAGAGGAGATCAGAAAACGGTTGGAGTTGCCGGAAGATAAACCGCCGGAGAAATGGATACCGCCGAACAGGCGCGACAGATCGCCGCCGAAACGAAGCAGACACCGCGTGGAGAGCGACGACGAGGTCGAGTACGTCGGGACGAAAACCATTAAGACGGAATATTACGATCATCACGATATGAGGGACCGCGATTACGCGTATTCCTCGTACATGCGTGGCAGGGGTGGCATGTATAGAAGCAGTTACTACCCGCGTGGCGTTCCGCGTACGAGATCGATACATTACGCGACACCCTACCCGGTGAAAGAAAAGTCTCCGAGCCCCATACCGGACGAGGTATTGACCGAGGATTTGGAAGTGGTAGGCTTGTTGAGATTGCTCACGGCGCTGGAGGGTCAACTGGGCTCCCTCGGGCCGAAGATAGTGTCCCTTCTTTCGAAAGCGTTGGCGGCGGAGAAAGCGAAACCGAACTCCGCCGAGGAGTTGCTGTACGACGAGGAGGTGAGCGTTCTGTTCGAGACGGTGAAGGAGAAACTGAAGGGTCAGCTGTTCGCTGGCATGATAGAGAAAATGGCGATCACGCCGACGAAGTCAGCGATACAAAATATCGCTCAGCTGTTGCACAAAGCGGCGGAGAGCAAAAAGAAAATCGAGGAGGAGAAGAAGAAGAAACGAGAGTTGGAGGCTGCCAAGTCAGCGAGTTATATACCGAGAACGGTTTACGCGAGGCCGGTAGAGGTTATTGCGCCCGCGATTAAATCGGAACCCGTTAGCGTGCCTGGCGTAGGCACTGTAGATAAGATGGCTATAGCTCAACAAATAGCGGCTGCTCTGGTAGCGCAAGGTAGATCGAACGTTTCCCAAGAAGAGCTGGAGACTCTTATCAACGCTGTTGTAGGGATGGCCGAGGCGTCGAAGAATTCCGATCGGCCAGTAACCACGGCTGATTTCGTTAAAGGGTTGGCGAGGGGTAACAATTCCCTCGGTCAAACTACGACCTCGCCTGCAACGTCAACGATAGACACCGTGGAACGACAAACTTCTAAAATGGAGAGTTTATCGGACACGGACTTGAAGTCGCTTCTACAGAATTTCAAAGACTTGAGCACGCAGGAGCAACACGGTCTAATTAATTTCTTGAAAAAATTGGAGGTGACCGATCCGGTCCGAGTAGAAAAATTGAGAGCCTTCGTTAACTTAGGCACAACGTCGTTGATAGCTTCGACCCCGAAGACGAAGTCTCCGACGCCCGACAAGGTCGAAACGACTATTAAATCGAGCAGAAGTATCTCGCCGTTCTCGGTGCGCAAAGTAAATCAGAATCCCATCGAGGAGGAGGATAAATGGAAGCCTAAGATAGATATGTTCGCGAACGACGACGAGGAAGAGCAACAGACAAAGGCCGATAACGACGAGAAACAAAAGACGAAGTTGGAGTTGTCGGACGACGATGACGATTACACGTTCGAGGACATTTATAAGGCGGCGGACAAAAATGTGATCGAGAATGAAAAGGCGAAGAAAAAGTCGCGAGCGTTCTCGAAATCGGCGTCGAACTCCCCGCGTTCGTGGACGCGGTCACGTTCGCGGTCACGGTCACGTTCACCGGTGAGATCGAAAGACCTGACGAAAACCAACGATCCGAATGCAATTTTGAACGAGACTAAACGATTGATCGCTAACATAATGGGGGATCTTCCGAACAAATACGTGCCAAAGTCGCATCTTGGAACCGATAATATCGAACACAATGTATCGAAGCCGTTGGACCAAATGTCCAACACGTCGACGGGTTCTGTGTCAAACTTTTACAATCAGGGTTATGTTCCGAGTACACAACAACCTTGTTCTCGTCCTCAGGGACCCCCGTTAAGTTACCCGAGCATATCGAATCAACAGTTTCAAAATTATCCGCAACAAGTTTACAGTGGTAATCAGGGTTACATGGACAATGGGTATAATTACCAGGGTTACAGTGGTCTAGCCAATCAAGGTCAGTATAGCGGACCGTCAATGGCGTCCAATCAATACCCGAATCAGCAGAACTACGGTGGTTCACCGTACGGTGCACCACCCGCGGGACACTCGTCGAGTTACTCTCAACAGCAACCGCAACAACAATACGGAAACTATGTGCAACAACAACGTTTTTATTGAAGTGATATCCGGTTTAAATATCTTTCGTACGAGCGTATCGAACTTTTACTGTGACTGTAAAATTTATTTACAATTGTTACGGAACCGATTCTTTCCTCGGGCTCTGAGTGTCTCTGGGAGGTTTGAATGTTACTAGTTGAAGGAATCTTAATTGACATATAGTAACGATCAGGATCTCTAACCGAAATGAATTTAATGTATAAGTACATTTTAATATTTAAACTGTACCAAGTTTTCCATTATGACGTTTGATAAAGAGCATCCTGGTCCCTTTTATAGAAAACAAAAAATGATTGAAAATACGCTTATTTCTTTGTCACAGAACTTCCTGACGAATTTCACGTTTACATTTATCGCGTCAGATTTTATACGTTTATAATTCGCGTACGTCTCGCGCCTCGTCGTTGGCGAGAGGTTTGAATTTATTGAAAATATTCCCGCTTTATTGAACTGTATCACATGTGCAAGGAGTGAACGTGGATTTATACGATAAAGTGATATTAAAATGGTCGATGTCAACGGGAAGAAAGTAAGTAAAAAGAAGAAAGTTGAAACGAAAAAACGTCTTTACTCTCACTTACAATTTCGTAACAGTAATTTTAGTTAAATTTTTATTATTTGATAATACGTTCATCATCTGTATAATTCAGCATTTTCAGATATGCGTGATAAATATCAAAGGAGTCAAAAGTAACGATGTTATTTTTACAAGCACTTTTAATGTTTAAAGAAATATATATATATATAAATATAGATACACATATTTATATATAAATATATATAATAGCAAGAATAACTATGTGTAATTTTTCAATAAAAAAAGAAGAGAAGTTGTAAAAGTGTATTGGACGAGCAAAGGAATAACCTTCATTTGTAAATACTTTTAAGCGTATTAAGTTTTTCCATTTTTCAGAGAAACTATAAAAACGTACCAAGGAACATATTTCTTAGCATCCAATAATAATATTAACAATAGCATTAAATTAATAGTATGTCTAATTGTATAAAGAAAACATACATAAACGAATCGTTTTATTCTATGTTCCCGTGCTTTTATTATTTTTAGCGAATATTAAAGCTACGTACACAGATGCCAGCCTTTAATAACAGGTTTAGAAACCTAAATTTATTGATCGTTTATTCTGCGTGTGTGTTTATTGATACAATATTGAAATAATTAATATATTAATACGCGGCTGCACAGTGCACATTGACTAGAGAGTTATAAAGATTCCAACTATGTCGCACTTATCGATACACGCGAGTACCATGGTGGCGTATATCACAACGAGTTATATAAATTAATCAAATACAGGCCCAGGCCGTGGTTCGTACAATATTTACAATTCTCTTTACAGACGTAGTGGAACGTAATTATTAAAATTTCCTACTTCGGCACGAGTCCCCTCGTCTTTGGGTAAATGGGCGGTGGTATCTGTTGGATCTTACCAACGCTCTTAGGTCGTATCTTCGCGGACTGTAAACGTGGCTTAGATCTGAGCTTCGCGTTCGAGGCGTCCACGTCGATGTCGCCCTCGTCGCGCAGCGCTTCCTCGAGGACAGCTTGAATCGTGGGCGCGATAACGGGCCCCTGGTAGTCCAGCGTTGTTCTCGCCGGCATGTCAAGGTCCAAATTTAATATATTCTCACCCGCATAACGACAACCTCTTCCCATGGCCAAAGCGATTCGCGCGTATTCGGAAACCGGTCTACGCGAGCCAGGAATCGACGTAGGTCTCTTTATCGAGTCTGTACTGGATGGCTCCGGATCCTTGACTATCCAACAGTCTTCTTCCTCGTCGAGATGAATTCTCGACAGTATTTTGTTCTTCTCCTCCTCGGGAATGAAATTCTCAATAATCAGATACTTCAACTTGAGCTCCTTCATCAGCTCGTGTTGCGTTTGCTCCAGGTCCCTTCTGTCCCTGTTGAAATCGTTGGTCACGTCCTCCAGTTCTTGCTTGAGGACTTGCAACTTGGTGAAACATTTTCTGAGCTTCCTCGACTTCACGTCCACTTCTTGTTGCAGGTTCGTGTACGTTTCCTTCACGCCCACCATCGTCAGCTCTTCGGCCTCGAGTTTCTGTTGCATCTCCACCTCCCGTTTCTTGCGTTCAGCGATCTCGGCCGCCTTCTGCTCCAACGATCTTTGCTGCTCGTTCGTGTGATCGATGATGTTCTTGCCCCCGCAGAGCATCTTGCTCTCCAAATCCTTTATTCTCAACACGAGATTCTCCGTCTCCTGTTTCTCCGCCTTCAGTTGTTCCGCTATCAGCTTCTTATCCGTTTCGATTTTGTTATCCTCGCAGCGACTGTCCTCTGTTTCGGATTCCGAATCCACGACCTCGCCCTCCTTCTTCCTCTTCGGCTTCTTCTTCCGCCTTTGCACCGTTCCTTTCTGCGCCAGCTTCTCTTTCAGTCGACCGATCTCCTCTTGGTACTGTCTCAACAGAGCGTCCTTCGGATCCTCGTTTATTCTCGGCTTGTTCTTGATGTTCTTAGCGCGATTCGCGTACCTCAAGGTCGTCAAAGTCTCGTCGTAGTTGTAGCTAGCTGGGCCAATGTTCGCGACCATAATGGTCTTGGAGTTCCCACCCAGAGAGTCCTGCAACAGCCTAGTGAGTTTAGAGTCCCTGTACGGCACGTGAGTGGTCTTTCCATCCACCAATGCAGAGATCACGTTACCCAGAGCCGACAGGCTCAAGTTGATCTTGCTGGCTTCCTTCAGCCTCTCACCAGATGCACCGGTTTTACTCTGTCTTTCGCTACCAGCCAGATCCACCAAGTTCAAACGACCCACTCTTATTCCACCCGTGTCCCCGATAGATCCCATCTCTATGGTGACCAGAAATATCGCGTGCGACCTTGAGCTGTGCTCGTTCATGTTCGTCGCGCCGATCGTTCTGTTCTGGTTGCCCGTGTTCATCAGCTGCTGTATCTCCGCGGCGCTTTTGCACACCGACGTGGACAGATCCTTGACGAACACGCCCGTGTCCGGTTTCTCCTTCAGCTCGAACCGCAGAGTCTGATCGGGCTGCAAAAGATCACGGATCTCCTCCTGATAAATCTCCAGATAACTGGCACGCACCAAGTACTGCATGTTCTCCGATCTGCCTATGTGATTGAAAATGTGCTCGAACGACCGTGGTATCACGCCGCGTCTCTCGTAGTCGTTCTTCGTGCCCTCCATGGTGTACGTTTTCCCGGTGCCGGTTTGCCCGTAGGCGAATATAGTGCCGTTGAAACCGTCGAGAACGGAGGACACCAGCGGCCTGACCGTCTCCTCGTACAAGTCCAGCTGGCTGGAATTCCAATCGTAGACCGCGTCGAACGTAAAGACTTTCACATTGTCGCTGGATGGATCGTCCCGTGGATGACGAATCTCGACCACTCCCCTCGATGGAAACACGTCCACCACGCGCGTATAACCGCGGGTCGTTTCCTTCTCGTCCATCGGTCGACACCGTACGACGACCTGCACGCACTGGGTCATCACCTCCGTCGACGCATTCGACTTCATATTTTTCTTTTTCCAGGTTTTCAATTGATTGTCCGATTTATCCATGCTGGCGGCCGGGATTCACCTGTGCAACGAGAGACACACCGACAGTGAGCCAACAGGAAGACCCGACGGGCACAACCGGTTCGCAAAATCAATAATATCCTGCCTACGGAAAAGAAAAAGATTACGAAACAGAAATGACACTTTAATTCTCTCGTTTTAATATTCCTCGTGTTTGTGAATATACTTAATAAAAGTGTGAAAACAATTCGTTAAATTTCTTGGAACCAACCCCCCGTCGTTCGAAAGAAAAAAATAACGATATCGCCCCCCCCGATCAATGGTAACTGTAACGACCAATGGGTTTTTAATCCGCATACCTGTCCGTCTCGAGTAAAATTGATCGAAAAAATTTGAATTCTCGAAGATTACACTTATCAGTGACAGCGAAGGAAAAAGAAATAGATACGAGTGTAACGTGTATGTTCCTGTACTGTTCTCTTAATTTCCAGTTACTCGAGAAAAAAAGAATGAAAAGAATTCTGTAAGAATATAACACGATGTTACGGTGAACTTGAATATTCCTGAGCTGGTCTTTTTACTTGAAATGCTTGTCAGTTTCAATCCGCTCTGTCACCTCGCGTAAAAAGAAACGAAAGTTTAATACGGACACCTTAACCAAACACCACACGACACGCTCTAAGTGTCGCGACCGGATTTGTTTCTGATAAACACTTACCTTTACCGAGCTTTCGGCCACAAGAAGCTCGCAGAGTGGGAAAAAGCGTTACAATAAACCAACGATTTTTCGTCGTATCCGCACGTTACCCTCCTCCGCAAGGTATTGATCCATTGTTTGCTTTCTAGGATTTGCACTGTCAATACGCGCCCTTTTTTTTTTTATGTACACTTGTTCAATCGATCTCGATTCGAAGGTTACCGCGAGGGCCCACGATAATCACGATTTAACGGTCAATAGAATCACTAAAACAATACGCGACGCATTGTGACGGAATACAGGAACAATCATATCATATTTTGACAGCACAAAGCCATTATGGTTAAGCCTGCGCAATGAAGTCCTCTCACTCGTTTCCATGAACATACTGAATCGATCTCTCGCTCAACCGTCGAGTATTCTATTCGAGACAGTCGCGTGCGATGCTCGTACGTGAAACTACATAATAGGAAATTTGCTTTATCGACGAATCATTATTCTCAATTTTATTATTTTCAATGAAACTACTACAAATAATCGTGCATTATATCAGTCTTCGTCGTAATTTTATAAACACGAAACTTTGCAATCTTTTTCTAAAATTTAGATTTAACAAACTTAAAAGAATCAAGAACTTACGAAGTTTAATTTTTCTTTCGATTCGAACTACCTATATTCTATGCAATATCGATGTTTTATTGTTGTACTTGTAATTTTGTTTTTGAAAGCATGTTTTGAAACAGATAACTGGATTTTAAAATTTTTTAATTTTTTTCTCATCGTATAAATTTGCATAATTATATTTATGTTTATGCATTCTGATATCAATGTATGGAATAATTTATATTGAATTTAATGTGTCCATTACCGTTTCACCACGCGTAAAATTGAAATCGTCAGCTGATTGTTACGGAGTTTGCGTAGTAATTATTTTTGGCAGGAAGTACACTAGTATTTTTTAATCAAAATTATTCTTAAATTAATAATATTAAAACGAACATGTATTCTTGTTTCATGATTGTCTCTTAATAAATGTGATAGCTTTTTAAGCGTATACGTTACGCTCGAAACTGAAATCCTATTGATACAGTTTGTACCTTTTTAATTGGGAACCCATATTGTGAATGAAGTTGACGGTTTGACCATTTTGTTAAGTAACTTTTGAGCTATATATAATTTTCATTCGATACTATATGTTTTCAAAATTGGGAATAAATTAATATCGCGGCTAACCTATAAATTACAAATTTTACTTCTCCGTTTGTCCGTAAAAATGCATTTCGACCAAGGAAATGACGTTATGTATCGTGGCTAGTTTCGTAGTGTGCAAGTCACCTTCTCAAACGAGTGGTGCGACCGTATTATTTATTGGAAAGTCTGTTCCGTTTAATTGATAACTGAAATCAATGTCGAAAAACTGGGAGTGTTACATATAAATTCACCGTGAAGTTAGTGTAATATAATAAATTAATGGAAACAGAAATTTTTTAGATAAATTATTGAAATGAAAACTTTCACATATTCGATGTTTTTCAGTGCTGCAAGTTATTGCGAAAATTATTTCTATACAAATATATTTAACAGTCTATCGTTCGAATACTATTTATTGCAAAAAGAAAGAACGGAACAAATACTGCGCTCGATACTTTCTTTCTAAATGCTTCTGCAACTTTGCTTTTCTTACAATTATTTTTATCGTTATCGTACATTAACCGTTCCTTTCTTTTTTGTTTCAGACAAAATGAAATTGTGGTTAGTAATAGCCCATATTGTACTAGTTGCAACGAATATATGGGCCACAGCACATTTTCATGAAGAACTTCCCGAAGATAAAGAGTTCGCTGAATTCGAAGACTTCGAAGAAGAGAAGCCAACTCAGTCAATTAACAATCATGGTGCAGAACATTTTAAGGAATCCAATCTCAATCAAGATTTCGAAGAGGAAGATGTTTTGATTGTTGATAATGATAGTGAATTTGATCACTTTGACGAAGAAGAGTTTGAAGGGGTAGATGCAGCGGGCGCAAATAATGGCCCGAAAAGCGACGAACCGTCTACGTTAACAATTACAAAAATACCGCTACATTTGCGTGCAAGATGGGATAGTTTTTACTTAGAGATACTAATGATCATTGGGCTATTAGTGTACTTTATTAACTATCTAGCAGGACGTTCAAAGAACGCTCGTATAGCAGAAATGTGGCTGCTGGAGCATAGACAGCTATTGCTCGATAACTTTTCTCTTGTCGGTGATACGGGGAAGTTAAACGAAGATGTATCTGAAAACGGTCTGGTAAAAGAGAGTCAATCCCATTACAGTTTGTATTGTTCCGGAAGAGTTGGTTGTGATTCCATGTTAATCGAGTTAAAACTAATTAAAAGACAAGATTTAGTGGCAGTGTTGGCGCAACTCGTGCGACCACAAAATGATCAAGCGCTTATACGAATAGAATTAGCTAAAGATGAAACGGATAATTTTGTGCTAGCGGTAGCTACGAAACGGACCGCGATGCATTTAACGCGCGATATGGCCGATATCAGTGTTTATTGTCCAGAAAAGAGACCCGGAGAAAAATTCGGTCTTCCATCAGGATTTTATGTAATGTCTGAAATTGCTGAAGCAGCGTCAGCTATTTTAGATACAAGAGTTTTACAAGCATTTACAAAGTTTGCACCATACATAGATTATGTACATATTAGTGACCAATTTAGTGGTCCTAAGCAACAAGAGTAAGAATCATATTTCAATGATAATTCTTTCATTATTTCTCATTTTTGTAATACTATATTTTTATTCCGTTTCAGAGACACAACTCAATTAACAATGCCTGATGTAAAAAGAGTTTTACTTGTTGGACTAAATATAAGTATTAAAGGACGTACTACTAACGCTGAGGGTCAAGAAAAATTGAAACTTCTCTTACAACTAACATTTTACTTGTTAGATAAATTACGTCGTTTCAAGCTATCTAAAGAGGTTCGTAATTTTTTCTGACAATTATATTCTGCTCTGGTGCAACTTCTTGTATCATTATCGTATTTAGGGTAAAAGTAAAGCAGATAAAAATAGATTGAGAGTGGAGGAGGCATTCTTGAAAACAACCCATGCCGCTAGAGCCGAAGCAGCTGCGCAGAGGAGAGAAGAACGTCGCAGAGCCGAGAAGGAACGTATCTTGCAGGAAGAGGATCCTGATAAGCAAAGGAAATGGGAAGAAAAAGAACAACGAAGACTTACTAAAAAGAGAGCACCTAGAATGAAGCAGCTTAAGGTGAAAGCATTATGACCAGATACAGTTAATTATACAGAACTTGTTGAAACATTTAATGCGTCATGAATTGCGCGATGAAACTGCCCATTTGATTTTAGTAGTATAGTAAAGCTATATTTCAACCATATTCATATTTCTCTCGGAACCATCATCCATTAATCAATTCTCATTCATCTTTCGAAAATAAAAATGTATAATTAAGTATAAAATACTTAAGATCCTCTTTTGGACGATTAATTAATTTTATATATAGATTTTTTTTTTATTTTACGATATATACTTTCGTCTTCCCGTTAATAATATATTGCTACTGTTAAATATTTATTTTACAATACTATCAGTATAACTTTTTAAATTAATTATGCTGTGTATTGAACATACGCTCTATAATGTAAAATGAGTTGTTGGTTTCATAAAAATTTCAACAATGTTTTACGAGAAAACAATACATAATTGTTGTTTTTAAACGATATTAACGTTATTTATTACGCAATTTATTATTTAAATCCATCCGTTTACGTCGTGATCTTACAATACATTTTTATACCGCAAGTAAACGGCATAGTTTTTCTATGCGATACTTGTTTTTCATTGCAAACCATATTAATTTCATTCATTTTTCATAATTCATAATTTTTTTGTCATTCCTTACTTTTCAATATGATATACCCCTCACCTACGGAACGTTGATAAAATAAAGCATTATTATTACGTATAAGATATTTTCAGGAAACATGAAAATATTAACATATAAATGCAATACTCATATTTATATTTATTTAATCATTTAGTATTTAATATAATGTTAAACATTATTTCAGTGTATGTGGAATGGAGATATATTTGTAAAATTTTGTTTCACCTTGTATATTGATTAAATACTGTTCCGTCCCGGAATCTTATTGTCAATCGAATATTGTATACGCAGAGTCTGAAGCCGCCTTAACGGAGGGATTTAGGAGGACCATCGGCTACACGACCCTCGTAAACTCGACGTACCGGTCACTTCATGCTGGTATCCTAAACTTTATAACTTGGACGGGCGTGCATTCCTCGATCGTTCCTACTTTCTTTCCGTTTTTATTCATAAAATCCTCGTTCCAGGAATAAACCTCCACTTTCTTCCTTCTCCTTCGAACAAATTAGATATCCGTTGCAGCCAATCGATCCTTAGATTTAGGTCTCATCAGTTTAATCACGCCCACACTGAGGTAACAAATTTTTGTAAGCAACAAAATACGCTGATCGGTCGATACAGAGCACCTGTACTTGCAATTACAATACACACTAATACACTCTCGAATCGTATATCATTTTTCACTCAGCTTCCTTAATTTCCAACTTTTGTAGATGTCCTATTTTGGAAAGCATTGGTACATACCACATCAATACACTCAGACACAGCATCGTGTCCAAGTAAACAATCAAAAAAACCGACACGACTCAACAAATACTATAGATATTGTTCACGTGAGGTCTCCATAAATACTTAAATTTCGGAACTCTAATGTTAATAGCATTACAGACTAGAAAGTATTCGATGCATGGAAATCTTACATCTTATTCTTTAATGCCATATTCATGTAGGTTGAATACTACAAAGAAGCAATACGTGACATTCTGTGATATTTAACGTTATGATTACTGTTACCAAAGTTAGGAATTATACAAAGGGGTTAGAACGAAATATAGATTTTTACTCGAGTATATTTCACAGATTTATTATGTTCTTTGTTACAATTATAAAGAGACGTTTCTCTTAGAATACTTAATGTGCTTTTGCATTGAAAGTGCGTACTAAAATAATATTTAAAAACTAATTTATCACAATCAGCTTGCATCGGACGTTACGAACATTATACAGTTAATTCTCGTACAGCGAGTAATTCGAGAGAGAAGAACTTGACGTGACCAAGTTTATTAATAAATTTGTTTAAGAACGTTTACTAATAAACGGGGTTACATAAACTTCTTTTTACATTTGCCCCCTGTACGAATACTTTTTTTTTCATGTGGTATATTGTGAATTGAAGAATTTTTTATTACATTCGATGACCGTCTTACAAAATAAAAAGTTATCGTCCGACACGAAGTCAGCTATAACAATGTTCAATCCGCCCCGACCAGGTCGTTTCTCATTTATCCAAGAAAGAATTACTTTTCTACATGCTGGTACTAAATCCCTCTGCAGTGTTCCGCATATGTGCTTCAATACGTAAGGAACGTCTGGAGTTAAAATACACTGCGACACGAAGCCAATGTTCGGATTTCGCGTTTGCAATTCCTTGTTCAAGAAATCGACGAGTTCGTCGACGCGAACGGTGTTCGGCCACGGCGTAAGCCACAGACCGCTTGGCCACAAATTCGAGTAATTTTTTGCGTAAGCGTTTCTGTAAATAACGATCACTTGATACTTTTCTAGATTAAGCCGGCGCAGCGTTATATGATCGAAGCTAGAAGCTATCGGGCACAGACTTCTCTGAAATATACGGAAAATTGTGTCTACCAGATGTCGATGGTCCGTTTCTGAGAACGAATAAAAGTGTTGAAAATCTAAGACTACGATTTCATTGCTGTGCGAGGTTAACCATTCTGCTACTTCCTGCAACGGTTGATAGATCGTCGATCCGTACAAACCGTGGAGGAAATAAATATCCCCGTTCGTTGGTTTTGTGGCTACGCGTAAGTCTAGATATCGGATACCACCGTTCAGCTGATCCTTGATAACGTCGTGTTGGGTAATAGACCAATTAAAAATAATGGGTTTTGAGAGGAGCGAGCAGTAACGGCCGAGAGCCCTGATGTACTTTGGCTCGTCGGGACCCACGTCATTACGTCGATTTATGGTGTAAGTCATCGTATCGTGGGAACCTGTTACGAGCCAGTCGGTATTATACACACGCCATCAAATGCATTACTTTGCACAGTTTTCCGTACAAAGCATCCATGCGTCGCGGTACATTCAGTTAAACGATAATAATTTTAGGTATATAAATTGAAAGGAACGTTGCAAGTTAGGGAAACCGAAATAAACTCGGGCAATATTTAGTTTACGTACGAGTCAATTATTCTTCTCTTGTTAGCAGTATAATAATAAAAAATTTAATTTTATATGATCAAAAGGCTTCAATTTTAATTGCTATTTTTTCTTTGAAACATAATAAGATTGTTAGATTGTGTAACAAATTTATAAAAGCAGACGTACATACCGGGTATCGCCAGGTGTATTATGGGTACATCCTTCAAAGCTTCCGGAAGTCGAGTCATCCAGTACTCTAGCTGCTCGTTCGAAGCGACTTCCTTCCCTTCCGCTTTTCGCGGATAAACACTTTTGTATTCCATTCTTTCGAATGTTTAGTTTTGGAATCCATACGCCGAAATCAACGAATGATCGCGCGTAAAGGAACCGCATATGTAAGTGTACGCCATCTACGTCGAATGACTCGTTAACCGATAATCGCCATCCTTTATATCGTTTTTCACGAATTAATATTCCCACGATGATATCATACCAATCACCTTGCACAGTCTTCCGACACGGGAACGACCGTACGGTGCCGATTCATAGAACCTAACCTCATGGCCATCGGATTATTCAGCGTCCCTCTTTTTTACAATCCAGAAGTTAACTGCGAGAATGAATCCAATTTGTAAAACGCAATATTACCAACACATGTAGCGTTTATTTATTCGTTGGATGTTTCGAATGTTAGCTTTCTTTTCTAACGGTTTAAAATCGCATCGACTACTTAATATATTCTAGACGCAACTCTACATTTGGTAATTTTAGCAAATCTTAAAATCTGGTCTACTGCTACCGTATTGAAAGTTGTTTGCACATTGTACAGTCGTATAATTCTAAAATTAAATATACATTATTCAAATTATTTATATATCACACGATACATCGAAGTAAAATCTTTAAGACGCAGGGAAGGGCAAACGTTTAGGATAGATAGACATTGGGAAAATGCAATGAAAATAAATCATTGAGAAGTTCAACGTTGGCTTTTATTTTAATTTTCTTTCACAGCCATAGTTTCTATCTGAGGCACCCTCGACCGTACGTACCAACAATTGTCACTTTCGATACGTTTACTAACGTTTAACCTTTATTTTAGAAATTCAAATTTAACAAAAGGTTTGCTCGTTTGTCATTAGTTCACCGCGTAACAATTTAAAACGATAGATCGATTCATTCCGTGAAAGCTTGCATGATAAGACATGTCGAGGGTTTCGCAAATAATGAGGTATAAGCTCGTTGATATTTAATCGTTATTACTACTCTCATTCACTCCATATCGGTGCATACTAATGCACTTTCGGTTATAAACTTATATCGAGAATAACAATTTGATCGATTTGCATTTTGTTACATTTGAGGAACTATGGGGAATGTATTTATCTGAAGATAAATGACGCATGGTATCTGCACGCTGTTATCGCTAACCTATTATGATCATTTATATTGCAGGATTTCCTTGATGAAGAATGAGAGGCACGCTACACGCGAGAAAGTTTGGAAGGGAAAATAGGCGTATGAAGGGCCCCTAAGCTAGCCAACATTGCATCTTAAGGTAGGAGTTAAAGATATCACAAAATTTCGTAAAAATTTTTAGCCGTATTCGTAAAGTTGAGATCATAGAAACAAAAGATTTAAGGTACAAAAGTTCTGTTTAACAATTAAGGTTTAATAGTGTATATAACTTTGATTGTACTTCTTGTGCAACCCTGTACAGCTTTATTTCTCTTTCTCTCAACTACAATTCTCCTGTGTGTAATATTAATGTTTCGTACAAACGCAAAATGAATTATTTACACCTATATGCAAAAAGACTCAAACTTAAGGTTTTGTAGAAATATAAAGTAAATTATATACAGTATGTGTACAAACGAAATAATGTTAAACATGTGGCGACGCCTTCCGTACTCGTCAGCAGAGGGCTACGCTTTCTCACAAACACTCGACTGATCGCCTATTTCTATGTACACACTCCTCGATCCAACCATTGAATCTCCCGGTGTCTAAGGTGTAAATATTAATACAAAATAGATAACATACTATATGAACGATTCCTTAGTTGGCATTCTGGAGTTACTTTCCTCCACTAGCTCTGTAATATTAGGAACAACTGTTTGGGACGTACTTAGGATAATTATTGATTTCAATTCGTGACTTGATATTTTGGTTCTGCCTGTAGATTTTATTCGCTTCAAAACTGAGTATAGTTTCTCGCAAAGATACGTCGTGCCAAACATCGCTATGATCGTTGCAGCGCACTTATACAATCGAGGAAATCTACATTGATTAAAATTATTGTAGAATTCCAGCAAGTTACGTCTTTGTTCAAATTTCTCTTTTAATATCCTGTCGTATTTTAACTCTATTAATTCCAATTGAAAATGAGAGGGAACTACGTTTATGTCGACTGAAAATGGTGTTGCTATTATATCAAAATTATTCTCCAGCCTAGCCACATCTTGAAATCTAGATTCGAATTCGTTCTGAAGATTTTTTAAAACGTCAATGTATCGTTCAAAGTTGCTTTCGACAGCTACTTCTTGTAACTTGATAAAATGACAAACTTTCCCAGTGCCCAGTTGCCTCATCCATAATTCTAGTTTCATCTTAAATGCACATACAGTATCAAAAAAGTCTATAATTGTGTTCCCTTTCTCTTGCAAGGCTAGATGTAAAACATTCAAATGATCGATTATGTCTGACAAAAAGGCTAAGTCTGAAATCCACTGTTCGTCTTGCAACTCTGGCACTGATTGTCCCGCCATGTCTATAAATTTTCGAATTTCTTCACGTTGTTCGAAGAATTTGTTTAACATTTTACCGCGACTGAACCAATGCATTTCCATAGGATACGGCAGTTCACCAAATTCAACGTCAAGTTCTTCTAAAAGTGTTTTAAATTCTGAACGCGTTGCCCCGTAAGAGCGTATGTAATTCATCGTCGTCACGATAAGTGATATAACGCTATCCAATTGAACACTTTTGGAGCATAAATTCTCTGGATAGATACTGTAATGTATCGTAGTTACTTCATGAGGAACTGTTAAACTGTCCAATTTTGTATATAAGCAATTCTCGAATCCAAATGTTTTGTCCGCCATTGTAGAAGCTCCGCCAGCGGCTATAGAAACAAGATTGTCCCATTGTAAATTGTTCTGTTCAACTATTTCTTCTATCCAAGAAAAAACATCCTCCCCCGAGGTATATTCTTTGATAGAAAAAATGTCTAACAGTTCCTCCGTAAGCGATAGATTTTCATCAACGCCGCGAATAAAAATTGAAAGCTGTGGTGAGCCTGGTGTGTCAATATTTTCATCCATAATTAGGGAGTATGCAATAAATTTTCGTACGATACTGCTTAGTTGTTCTGTAACATCATTGGCCATTTCATGAATCCGATGTGTAATAATAGTCTGCGACAAACCGATACACTCGAATTTGTTCACCTGCTCTGGGCATACCTGCTCTGCCGCCGCTAACAAGCAATGTTTTACAAAATTTTCCTTCTGGAAACAGCGCGAAGATTTAGCTGTTTCCAAGGCAATGCGATAACTTGCTCGAACAGCAGCTTCGTTGGGCGTAATATTATCATCCTCCTATGAACAAAATAATGATTTAGTACAGTGCCTCGGTGTTTCCAACGACCGGTAACATTCTAGTACTTAAATTATAATAACTTACTTCTTCGAATATTTCTTGTAGTTTGATCAATTTGGATTTCAGTCGTTTAATTTCTGTAAGCCGTTCTTCGCCTGTGAGTCGTGCATATTCTTTAGCATGGAATGAGTTGTAATGCCGTTGAAGATTGTATTTCTTTAATTGATTTAGGCTTTTTAAGCAAACCAAACATTTAGCGCTACCCTCATGCTCTGCACACAAATATGCTACTTCCCATATAGGGTTGAAGTACGAAATAGAATTTGGTGCTTGTCGTTTAGGCGTGGAAATATCAGTCATAATTACGCTATTACACACCACTAAATTTGCTTCTTTTCGATTTATAATCGAATTGCGTGGTAAACTTAAGTACAGTAACTATAAAAATGTAGCGTGTGGTCGTAGAATTAGTTATGAAATTGGTTTTCAGTTTTATATGAAGTTTTGTGTCAAGATTTATGTATTTTTCTCACAATGCTACTTCGTCAAATCTTCATGTTCATTCATGTTCGCTTTATTTCCGGTTCGAACTGCTACCGGTTATTTGTTGGACATATTGTTCTTTCACGCAAAACGGCAACAGTACAGTGCACCGGTCGAATGAAAACAGGTGTTTTATGACCCTCAACAAGCAATTTTAATAAAGAAAAAAAAATTCTTCGCAATCGAATAGTTTATATATATTTCTATCAGGTTTTTGAAAACGGGACTTCAACCAGAAATTCATTACGCGATTTCAAAGCACGTTTATAGTTTGGCATATTTGTATTTCGGGGCCTGTTAGATTCGGATACCCACGACGTTGACTATGCACGTCGCTGTTTTTGGCCACGCATGCGCCTAGAATGTTTACCTGTCTGCAACACCGCACTTCCGTTCAGTCGAAAACCTATGGGCTGATTTAGTTTCTCGTTGGGCATGGGCAATGGGCACTCGCCAATGCCCCAGGGCAAAAGTCGACGTTTACAACGAATATTGGCGGGAAACACATACTTCTCTTTAGCGGCGTGAACTCATATTAAAAAGGTAAAACTATTTCTAAAATTTTAGTTCAAAACTATTGGGTGCTCAAGAGCAGTATATTTGATAAATCTACGACGATATAGCTCATTGTAAATAAAAGTAATAGATTTGATAAGTTCATATTTATTATGGGTCAACTACATTACATTTTACTGATTGAATCCGGTTTAATACATCTGTTCGAATCCAGTTGTTAAACGAAGGATCATGGTTGAATCCGTTAATATAATTCGTGGATTACCCTATCATGGGAGTCGCATAGAAATCTCCCATTCCGTCTATCGCAAGGATGGCCAACCAACCCAACTGGATTGACCAACCAGTTGAGTCAGTTACCTACCGAGCATAGGCATCGACGAGCACTCGTGGCTCAGTGCCGGGCAAGTGAGGTTATAGTAAAAAAATGGCGGCTGATGATGGCACGTAACAGGGAAACAGAGACGTATACTTTCACGGACAACCGTGATATATTTACCCTCTTTTTGAGCATGGATTAAAATGGTTCTGAAAATAATTATTTAAAACTATTACGGTTACGGTTCTAATATAGCTGCAAGGGTTAGGTTAGGTCTGGGCATGGGCATCGACGAGCAGTCGGGACTCGGTGCTGGGCAAGTGAGGTTATAGTAAAAAATGGCGGCTGATGATGGCACGTAACAGGGAAACAGAGACGTATACTTACGCGAACAACCGTGATATATTTATCCCCTTTTTGAGCATGGATTAAAATGGTTCTGAAAATAATTATTTAAAACTGTTACGGTTACGGTTCTAATATAGCTGTGAGGGTTAGGTTAGGTCTGGGTCAGGTGGTGTATTTTTCCTCTTTTTGAGCATGGATTAAAATTTAAAATACGGTTCTAATATCGCTGCGAGGATTTCACTGAGACATTGAAATCAATCATTTTCATAAAACGTTATTTCAGAAAAATAAAATACAAAAAACTTTGTATATACATCGTGCTTTATTATGGAACAATACAGAAGACATTGTTTTATTCACTTGCATACATACTTATTTACTTACAGCTCTTAACAATTCTAGTCAGGCTTAAAATTTAATTTTCCACTTTACTTATCTTAAGATATATTCCACTTTTTGGCCCCAGCACAAAAGCTGTTGGGTCATGGACGTACGATTTCATTGTCTTTTCGCAAATCTCGTATTTGTAATTTTTTAACATCGTTATCAGTCCCGCTTTAGTTTGGTAAACTGCAAAACGAGCTCCTAGAACAAGGAATAAGAACATCATTTCGTGCAAAGATAATAAAATGTAAAAAAATTTTGTAATATTATTCTCGTAATTACCAATGCAATTCCTCGGTCCATCGCCAAAGGGTAAATATGCCATAGAGTGTCTTGCAGCGATCGCGTCCTCGGTAAACCTTTCAGGATCGAATATTTCTGGATTTGGATAGATTTTTGGATCATGGTGAATCGCATACACAGGAATAAACACCGTAGTTTTCTTGGGAATCGATACTTTTGTACCATTAAAGGTATACTCTTTGGTGCTTCTTCTAAACACAAACGTTCCTGGCGGATATTTCCTCAGCGTTTCTGTCGAATAGAAACATAATTAGACTGAAATTTTCGAATTTTCGAAATTTCAAATGCTACGTTTTATAAGTCCCCTTTTAAAGTCTTCCCAAAGACGTGTTACACGCACCTTTAAATACCTTGTCCAAGTATTTCATTTCGTTCACGCTCTCGTACGGGTAACTTCCATTATGTTTCTCAGTGAACGTTTTAATTTCTTCTCGTACCTTGTTTTGCATGTCAGGGTTCAGGGCCATTTCATAAAGGCAGTGGGCCATCGTTGTCGAGGACGTTTCAAAACCAGCCGCGAAAAATATGAAAGCTTGCGCGGCCACCAAAGTATCCGTGAGTTCTAGAAGATTCCATAAAATACGATCAAAATAACGCCAATTTTATAATTGGTTTCGGTATACTTGCCGATATCCTGCAGTTTCTCCGGTTCGTTCTTCAATTCCATGAGCAAATTTACAAAGTCCGGTCTGACAATATTATTTTCTTTCCTGTATTTTATGGTGTCAGCGATCACATCCGTGAAGAATTTATCGGACGTGGACACTTTAATTACTCCACCCAGTATATCGTACAGCCATGGCATAGTGTCCCTGATAAATATCTTGAACAGTTTCCATGGGGTGGTCGCGAAGATCTCTATTCCCATCTTTCGAAATTCGCTCTCCTCGTCAGAGATGGCGTTCATGTTGATTCCGAACGCGCAGCTGCCTATAGTATCGGTCGTGAATTTCGCTGCTATTTCGCGACATTCTACCGGCTCCCCTTTCGCCGTTGCGTTCTCCAAATACTTTTCCAACGTCACTGAGCATTCCAGTATTAGGGGAAACATATCTTTTATCCTGCTGGACGTGAACACTGGCGAGATCCTCGTCCGTAATGGCCGCCATCTTTTTGGTTCCAAATTGAAGAGATTCGGAGAAAATACGTCGATCTATAGTTACATTAATTATATTATACCAACTAAGACGTAGATAGAGTTCTAGGGGTACATGAATTTGCACATTTTTAATATTTTCGTTCTACATATACAGGGTGTTCGACCATCCATGGGAAAAAATTTAATGTCTTCAATGGGAAAAATTATTTTCGGTTGCGCGGGTCAATTACAATCATTTCTGGTGGATACACATATCTCTGAAATCCTACTCACTTTCGAGAAAAAAATTCGAGAAGGTGTGAAATTTTTCGACGGAAAAAAAAAATTTCAAATCGTTCTAAAAAAATTACTTTCGGTTGCGGGGGTCAATTACAATCATTTTTGGTCATTACACATATCCTCGAAATCCTACGCACTTTCGAGAAAAAAATTCCTTACCGAAAATCTAATTACCTAAATTTTTCGACGAAAAGAAAAAGTTTCGAATCGTTCTGGAAAAATTATTTTCGGTTGCGGGGGTCAATTATAATCATTTTTGGTCAATAGACACAACCCCGAAATCTTACTCACTTTCGAGAAAAAAATTCGAATTTTGTCGACAAAATTAAAAAATTTCGAATCGTTCTGGAAAAATTATTTTTGGGCGCGGGGGTCAATTACAATCATTTTTGGTCATTACAATTACCCCCGAAATCCTACGCACTTTCGAGAAAAAAATTCCTTACCGTAAATCTACCTTTCGACGGAAAGAAAAACTTTCAAATCGTTCTGGAAAAATTATTTTCGGTTGCGGGGGTCAATTACGATAATTTTTGGTGAATAGACATACCCCCGAGATCCTACCCACTTTCGAGAAAAAAATTCGAGAATGTGTGAAATTTTAAACGTTAATAACTTTTTAACGAAGCCTCCATCAACAAATTGGTATTCTTGATTTTCGTCGTGTTTTGGCCTCTAGAATACCCCACTAAAATTTTTCCCGGGGATGGTCGAACACCCTGTATATCATGTATCGTGTGTGTCGAAAGAAAATGGTGGACGTTCGAAACTGATTCGTCCATTCGTACCTTTTCGTGTCGAGCTTCTAGTCGTGTGGCGAACGTAGGAAAGTCTTTGATGAGTACGTCCTTGACGAGTTCAAGGTCGTTCACAATGACCGCGGGCCTTCTTCTCATAAATATCCCAACCAGCGGTTCATTTCTGTGCTCCTTGTAAAGTCTCGTCAATAAGTCGAACAATGCTTCCCTCATCAGCATAACATCTTTAATGTTACCGAATCCTGGTATTGGTTTCGGTCCCGGTACACCGCGATCTTTCCAGAAGCTGAAGTTCGAAGTCAGGTAATAATAGAAGACGAACAACACCGTGACAAGTGCACTGAATATTTCCAAATAGCACGCCATGACGAAAAATATTATCAACTGCGAAGTTACACCGAAATCGATGTTAACAATTATTAGTATCAAGTATGAACCAATGAGAAAACAGTGCGTTTCGTACTGTACGCGAGCAACGGTGATTACGCCATTTGTTTCGTCAGCACGAATGGAAAAATCATGCTCACGCTTGATACAGTTCCTCTGTAATACTAGCGCGACATCCTACTCTTATCTCTTCATATACGCGAGCGAAGATTAAACAGGTGAAAATCACGAATCATTGTGTGTTGCATTACGGAGAAAAATATTGTTAACCTAAAACCTTATCCCTACCCATGCCCACGTAAAACTAACGAGATATCTTTGTTACGATGGTACACCAGATCTGTAAATATGAAACCGGAATTCCCCCATACGTGGCGCTAGCTGTCAGTGTTGTTACCTTCAGACCGTTTCATTGACACCATTCTTTTGTTTTGACATTTGATAGGGATTTGCAACTCGCAATACAAGTTTAATACAATGGTATAGTTTTTTAATAGCGTCGAATTTTGTGTCTGGAGACTATGATTTGGGGAGAGTATTGATTTTCTGTTATCGTTTGAAGAAAACCGCCGCAGAGTCGCATCGAATGCTTGTAGAAGCTCACGGTGAGCATGCTCCTTGGTAGATCACAGTGCTTTGGGTGGTTTAAAAAATTCAAAAATGGCGACTTTCACGTGGGAAACGAAGAACATGGAAGACCACCGAGTTGCAATCATTGTTGGATGAGGATGACGCTCAAACGCAACAACAATTCGCGAATCAATTAAACGCGACGCAAGAGGGCGTCTCCATACGTTTGGAAGCCATGGGAAAATGGATTCCACGTGAACAGAATGAAAGATAGTAGGAAGATCGAAAAACCACTTGTGAAATGTTGCTCGCCAGGTGCAAAAGACAGTCATTTCCCCATCGAATTGTGACTGGAAAAGTGGATATATTTCGAGAATCCTGAGCGTAAGAGATCATGGGTAGCTCCAGGCGACCCATCGACATCGACTGCAAGGCCAAATTGCTATGAGAGCAAGACAATGCTCTGTATTTGATGAGATCAGAAAGATGTGATCTATTACGAGCTGCTAACACCTGACATAACCGTTGATATCAAACGCTACCAACAACAAATGATCGATTTGATCGACTTGAAGCTTTTCATGATAGTGCACCATCACATACAGCAGAACTGGTCAAGGAAACGATTGGAGGCGTTTAGTTAGGGAATATTTTCGCATCTGGCTTAGTCACCAGATTTGGCTCCACCTGATTATTAGTTATTTGCATCGATGGGACACGCACTAGCTGAGCAGTATTTCATATTTTACGAAAATGTATGACTAATGGCTGGATGACTGGATTGCCTCAAAAGAGGAACAGTTTTTTTGGCGTAGGATCCACAAATTGTCAGAGAAATGGGGAAATGAGAGAGATGGGTATTGCTAGGGATGGGCAATGATTCGAATAATATTTACATACCTGGTACAGTTCCTCTACGGTTCTAACGCGACATCCTATACTTATCTCTTGATCAAATAGGTGAAAGTTACGAGTCGCATTACAAAGAAAAACATTGTTAACCTAAAAACTTATCTTTAAGAATTCCACGTAAAAATTAAGAGATATCTTTGTTACGATGGTATAGATAGCGATAATATATACAATAGCGACTCTGGAAGTAGTAAACACCATTTCGTGTCTAGTCATTGAGACGATTGTCGCGATAATGAGTCTAATCCAGGTCCCAGTTTCGTCTGTAACGCTGTAAAAATTATTTTGCTAAATAAATTGAAATTAATCAAAACCTCTGCGTGTATTTCTGTTATGTGATAGATGTAGGCAGAGTGGAAGAGATTTCATCTAGAGCGATCAGTTTAGCTCGATCGCATTCGAGCGTCGATACTGGCATTTTATTATTATCAATGAAAAATTATCGTTTAAATGTATTTACTAATAATATTTATTTTCGGTAGATTACATCGCGAAGCAACGACTGATACGACTCTCGAGAGATAAATACATTGAAGAGAGCTTTTTCCGAGTGTTAATAAGGCCTGATTAGAATATTTACGTTCCACGATGACAGGTCGATAACATACTCGTTTCTTGATTATAATGAATCATCATATAGGAACGTGAATAATTATCGCTGCCTTAAAGTATTATGAATATACAGGGTGTTCGGCCAGGCCTGGGAAAAATTTTAATGGGAGATTCTAGAGGCCAAAATAAGACGAAAATCAAGAATAGCAATTTGTTGATGGAGGCTTCGTTAAAATGTTATTAACAATTAAATTCAACAATTTCAAATCGTTCTGGAAAAATTATTTTCGGTTGCGGGAGACAATTATAATCATTTTTGGTGAGTAGACATACCTCCGAAATCCTACCCACTTTCGGGAAAAAAAATCGAGAAGGCGTGAAATTTTTCGACGGAGAAAAAAAATTTCAAATCGTTTTGGAAAAATTATTTTCGGTTGCGGGAGACAATTACAATCATTTTTGGTCATTACACATACCCCCGAAATTCTACCTACTTTCTAGAAAAAAATTCGAAAAAGTGTGAAATTTTTCAACGGAAAGAAAAAATTTCAAATCGTTTTGGAAAAATTATTTTCGGTTGCGGGGAACAATTACAATCATTTTTGGTCATTACACATACCCCCGAATTCCTACGCACTTTCGAGAAAAAAATTCCTTACCGAAAATCTAATTACCTAAATTCGACGAAATTAAAAAATTTCAAATCATACTAAAAAAATTATATTTAGTTACAGGGGTCAATTACAAGCATTTTTTGTGAATAGACATACCCTCGGAATCCTACCCACTTTCTAGAAAAAAATTCGAAAATGTGTGAAATTTTTCGACGGAAAGAAAAAATTTCAAATCGTTTTGGAAAAATTATTTATCGTTTGGGGGGACAATTACAATAATTCTTGTTGAACAGACATACCCCCGAAATCCTGCGCATTTTCGAGAAAAAAATTCAGTACAGGCGAAACTTTAAACGTGAATAACTTTTTAACGAAGCCTCCGTCAAGAAATTGGTATTCTTGATTTTCGTCTTATTTTGGCCTCTAGAATCCCGCATTATAATTTTCCCCAGGGGTAGCCGAACAAAAAAAAGAAACAGCATAGTTTAATAAATAGGAACTACGTTTGACAACGAATATTCCATAAGTATATAAATTACACTAAATTATCCAAACAAGAAAATCGTACACATACGTATACACGAGTGCCAATTAAAAACTTTCTGTCGTTCGTCACTTCGTGTCTATACAGAAACTGTGATATATAGAAAACTTATTTACAACATCACCAACTTTTTTCATATAGTTTTTAGAGAATAGCTGTGCAGTTAAAGATCTAAAATAGTTGTCGATCTCATATATTTATATCAGCTTTCTACTTTTGTTATCTTTAAGAAAATTCCTCCAATCGGGGACAGCAAGAATGCACCCGGGTCGAAATCATAAGGAATCACTGTCTGGTCGCACACGTCCACTTTATGGTTGCGAAGTATCGTGATCAGTCCAATTTTCGACTGAACGACTGCGAAACGTGCACCTGTAGAAACATTAAAAAACAATTGTCAGAGACATTTCATCGACTCAACTGCTTGTTTCGATTGTTGATACAATACCGATGCAATTTCTTGGTCCATCACCGAAAGGTAAAAACTGCATAGGGTGTCGAGCCTGAGTATTGTCCTCGTTGAACCTTTCAGGATCGAAAGTATCAGGATTCGGATAAATATTAGGATCCCGTTGAATCGCAAACGCTGGGATCCATATCATTGTTTTCTTCGGTATAGTAACCTTCGTGCCCTCGAAAGTATAGTCAGAAACTGCTTTTCTCTGCAATATCGCCGCTGGTGGATACTTCCGTAACGTTTCTATTAAAAAATAAAGAAAATAAAAACATCTACACTAGCTTTAAAATCAGCTTTGCGTTGATAATCAATACGTATATTCACCTTTGAACACTTTGTCCAAGTATTTCATTGCTTTTATGTCCTCGTATTTGAAACTCCCGCCTGTTTTAGCATGGTATTCCCGGATCTCCGCGCGCAGCTTGTCTTGTATCTCGTGATTCTGTGCCAGTTCGTAAAGGGCGTTGCTCATCGTCGTCGAGGACGTTTCGAATCCCGCGGCGAAGAAGACGAACGCTTGAGCGGTCAGTAAGGAGTCCGTTAATTCTGCAAAATATCATTAAATTCTATTACGGGCTAATCTCAATGGTGATATTAGAACGATCCACGATTTCGAGACACTTTGCCATTTTTAAACTCAGGAGATAAACGAATCGCCAATTTTCGAACGTTCGAATTTCCCGCGTTTATTTCGAAACATATTTCGATCTTTTCGATTGCACCGTAAAAAGTAAAAAGTAATAACTGGATGTTGAAATACTGATTTTAGAGTCATCACTATATGATTAAAGATGTTTAAGGTAATTCTGATTAATTGGATCCTCGTATCATTATTTTTCAGTAATGAATATTCCAATAGCTGTTTTGTAGTTTCACGATTGTCATGTCACGTTTCTCATTTTTATATCTCATTTTTATGAACTGACTCACTGCTCGAACATTACGACGCCATATTTGGCGCTACTGCGCAGTAGAGCGACGCAGACGCTAATTACACTAACAAGTGAGCAGAGAATGCTCATCATTAAGCTCACTAGCAAACTTATCACATATATAGCAAATGGAATTAGAAGATATCGAGTATTCTTTTAACTTCTCTTCGAAATGCTATTTCAGATAAACTTACTGACACTTTCAACCTAGTTCAGATGTTTTAAAAACCAAGAACCAAGAACCCACTAGCAAACTTATCACACAAGCTAGCAAACAGAATTAGATATCGAGTATTCTCTTAACTTCTCTTCGAACTGCTATTTCAAAGAAACTTACTGATACTTTCGACCTTGTCCGGATGTTTTCTCAGCTCCATGAGCAAGTTGATGAAATCCGGTCTGGAGATGTTGTGCTCGTCCCTGTAATTCATCGTGTCCACAACGACTTTCGTGAAAAATGGCGCGAGTCTCCTGTCGGGGACCAGATAACCAAGCAGATCGTATAACTGTGGCATGAACAGTCTCACTTTCAGTCGTAGGATGTTCTCCGTGTCCACCGCGAATATCAGTCTGCCCATACGCCGGAATTCGCTGTCTTCTTTCGCCAGAGCGTTCATGTCGATGCCAAACGCGCAGGTCCCGATCACGTCGGTCGTGAATTTCGCTGTCAACTCGCGAACTTCCACCGGTTCTTCTTTCGTCGACAGTTCGTTCAAATGATTCTCCAAATGGTCCGAACACTCGATCATGAGAGGAAGCATGTCCTTCAGTTTACCGGACGTGAATATCGGCGAGAGCTTCGTCCTTAATGGCCGCCATCTTTCTGGCTCGAGGTTCAACAGATTCGATGACAATGGCTCCGTCTGCGGATACGATTACTATATTTAAACACTATTAAATTATAGATACTTTACTTATGTGGATACAATTATTATATTTAAACACTATTTAATTATAGATACTTTACTTATGTGGATACAATTATTATATTTAAACACTATTTAATTATAGATACTTTACTTATGTGGATACAATTATTATATATAAACTCTATTTAATTATAGATACTTTACTTATGTGGATACAATTATTATATTTAAACACTATTTAATTATAGATACTTTACTTATCTAGATACAATTATTATATTTAAACACTATTAAATTATAGATACTTTAAAAAGTAATTAGAATATAGTTCCTCTAAAATTAATAATGTTTCAAGTGTGATGCAAATCACTACTAAAATCTGTTTAGATTTTTGACGTTAAAAAATTGTATTGGTCGGTTTTAAATTTCTCTCTGTTCGTTCGATTCTTTTGCAATTAACTTTTTCTATTAGTGTATTCTTCGATTAAATTTTTGTTTTCATTACGTACCCGTTCGTGAACGTTGAATCCTCGATCGGAGAATTTTGAGAAGTCTTTGATCAGGACGTCCTTTATGAGATCCGGATCGTTGATAACGAGAGCAGGCGATCTGCCCGCGAACACTCCGACCAGAGGTTCGTGTCCGTATTTCTCGTAGAGTTGTTTCATGAACGTGGCCATTGGTATCCTCACGAACAGCAAGTCTATAGTGTTGCCAAAGAATGGCAAGGGTTTCGGTCCAGACACGCCACGGCTTTTCCAAAAATTGTAGGTGGACGTTGAGTAATAATAAAGTGCAAGTAGCAACGCGACCGCGCCCCAGAGAAACTCCACATAGGTCGCCATTATCTTCCTCGTTTAACAACTGATAGTTGATAATTGAAATACAGCTTCCTGAAAGGGATTCTTGTTAATTAAAATAGCGAATGTTCCTTTCTTTTGGCAGTCTGATAACTATATTACTGACTGAACCTTTTCAAATAAAATTTACGTATTCGACACGATTTAACGAAAAGCAATCTCACGAGATAGGTGCAATTAAATTGCGTCACTTCGATGATTACGCACGCGTACGTCGAAGGTTAAATCATAATAAAAAATTGTAAACACCTGCTATGGATTTGATAAAGAATTGCAACGGTTTGAAGACGTGTTTTTCAAATGAAGAATTTTTAATTCATTTATTAATATAGTACGGTTGAAATTGATAACGTTCGATGCGTTACTCGCAACAATTGATATCTGGTTAATTTCACGCTGCACGCTAATCGCGCGCCACTGTTAAAGCTTTCACGACGAACTTATGGTTCTTCTCAACGCAGATGTTCAAAACGACTGCGATCTGCCGGCAATTATAGTCTTATATAAACTGTATGTGAGGGAACGTTACTCACGATGACTTGTATTTACGGTAGACGTTCAGTTTGAGTCTTCTGCGAAGATACTACACCGATGATGAGTTTATTTCCTGTTATCGTACACACTGACAGCGATGTAAACTTACAAATCCCTGAATCGATAAGGAACAACCGCTATCTCTGATTACGCGAGTAAAATAGATATCTATGAACTAGCGAGAATTAAATAGACCAAATAGTAAACTATCAGGTTTGTTTTTATTTTCAAATAATAGGTAAATCAACGTTTTGCAAATCAGTGTTGAAAATTGTTAAAAGAGCTTTGCAAATTGGGGGTCCACGAACTTGCAAATAGATTTTAACAATATTCTTAAATGAGTATTTTTACTCATGGGGGGTCCACGAACTTGCAAATAGATATTAAAAATATTCTTAAGTGAGTATTTTTACTCATTGGGGGCCCACGAATTTGCAAATAGATATTAAAAATATTCTCAAGTGAGTATTTTTACTCATTGGGGGCCCACGAACTTGCAAATAGAAATTAAAAATATTCTTAAATGAGTATTTTTATTCATTGGGGGTCCACGAACTTGAAAATAGATATTAAAAAAATTTTTGAGTATTTTTACTCATTGGGGGTCCACGAACTTGCAAATAGATATTAAAAATATTCTCAAATGAGTATTTTTACTTCTTGGTGGTCCACGAACTTACAAATAGAAATTAAAAATATTCTTTAGTGAGTATTTTTACTCATTGGGGGCCCACGAACTTGCAAATAGAAATTAAAAATATTCTTAAATGAGTATTTTTATTCATTGGGGGTCCACGAACTTGAAAATAGATATTAAAAAAATTTTTGAGTATTTTTACTCATTGGGGGTCCACGAATTTGCAAATAGATATTAAAAATATTCTCAAGTGAGTATTTTTACTCATTGGGGGTCCACGAGCTTGCAAATAGATATTAAAAATATTCTTGAGTATTTTTACTCATTGGGGGTCCACGAACTTGCAAATACATATAAAAATATTCTCGAGTATTTTAACATCTATTTGCAAAATCGTGGACCCCCAATTTATCATTGATTAAGGGCCACTGCTACTACAAACAGCTCTCTCTCTTTGAATTAGAGATGATGCAATGATAATGACCGTATCATACACGGAAGCATGAAATAATTTCCATCCGACCAACCAGTATGATATTGCAGAGAAATATTACTTTCAGAATCGTTAGAGATCAAAGATCGTCATGCCTGAAGGTCTATTTTGTTTTTACGTATAAATTAACAAATTGAGATTACAAATCGATATTTGTCATCGTAATAAAAGTGTCGAAGTACGACCACCGATCATTTTATATTTTTTAGTCCCGTTCAATAACTCCATTTTCGCGTTAAAATTATATAGATTAGGTAACATAGACGGCCCTGATTACGGGTGTCCGATTTCTAAACCACTTTCACTCGTATCACGATTTTGCCTCTTGAATCTATTGTCCTAATTCGATAATCCCGTACTTCAATTACAAAACAATTAATTAGATAATCAAAATCAATTCAGTTTCTCATTATTCTAGAGATTAGAAACATACAATGTCACTGTTCCGTGAGAGATAATAACGGTACTGTTTTAAACGATCTCTATTAGAGTTTCTTGGAATTGACACAGTCTTCTCCATTGAACGACGTCCTGCAATTTAAGATACTTCTAGTAGGAGGAAACAGTAAATTAGAACGACCAGATTGTGGCACAGTATTTAAAGAACACTGTACCATTTTATACAGTTAAAATTCTAAGCATTTTTCTATTTATTTCAATCAATTTACATTATCGTTGATTCAAAAAGTAATACTTTAATTAAACTCTAAAATGATCTTAAATATTTCCCACCCGCTTTGTTAATTCGTTTTAAATCGCGAAACATGTTTCTCGAGTTCTCAACGTTTCAGGAAAAATAAATATAGACAACTCACTGTCCTCTTTTAACGCTACAGTCACTTCTCATTTATTTTTTTTTTTATCTGTTAATTTTTATTCGTCACGCGAAACGGATCTGTTGCTGCGTCGATTATTCTGCGTGAATTATACATTGTTCTTGCGATACGATAAAAAACAAACTGGTTTTAATTTCAGACGTTACTATTACAGTGACTAGCACGACGTTGACGTGACGCGAACGATATCAATTTGGATGCTATTGTAAAACGTGCTACGCCTTTATCACATCCCCACTCCAAAGTATTCGAACGCATACAACGCCCACGCACTTAATTTTCAGCGTTGCAACGCGCTTCCGCTGTTCGCGAGCAGAGGGCGCCATGATCGCTCCTCGAATTATCGGTAATACAGTTTCAGTGCACCACAAAGTTCCCTATAACGATTGTTTTCAATCTTCTTCTTCCCACGGAGCTTCTCAGGCACGAGAAAATACTTATGATTAAAAAATAAATTGTACGAGATACATACACCCTAATTATAATATTGTTAAGAAATGGTGTTCGTCCAGGTTACTCCGTGAGAATCTCTGTAAAATCTCTCTTTAATTCTTCACTTTGGATATCTTTAAGTACAGTCCCGATTTGGGAGTTAGAATGAAGCTGTACGGGTCCAGTTCATAGGGAATTTCCGTTTTCTCGCAAACGTCGACTTTGTAGTTCTGAAGGATCTTTATCAGTCCAATTTTCGTTTGGTAGATCGCAAAACGTGCACCTGTGACGAAATATTTTAGACAATATACGTTCCAATTTAGTTAAATCGTCGATGAGAGTAATTTATTTGTTATTCGTTCGTACCAACGCAATTTCGTGGACCATCGCCGAAGGGAAGAAAGTGCATCGGGTGTCTGGTGCTTTTCTCTTCCTCGCTGAACCTTTCAGGATCGAATTTCTCCGGATTCGGATAGATATCTGGGTCCCTTTGAATCGCGTGCACGGGTATCCATATTTTCACACCTTTTTTTATCGACACCTTCGTGTCTCGGAACGTGTAATTGTCGGTTGATTCTCTAGTCAGAATTGCCAGAGGTGGATATTTCCTCAATGTTTCTGCAAACAAAATTGAGGAATTAATTGATATATTACTGTAAAATTAAATTCACTCGTGTACCCGGTTAAGTGAACTGTTTAGTGAACAGTTACACGAACCGAACCCCTATCGGGCTCGTACGAAGTTTTATTGTAAAGATAATACTAAGAAACCTACCGTAGAATACCTTGTCCAAATATTCCATATACTTTATGTTCTCGTATTTCCAATCTCCGTTATTTTTCACATAGTGTTCGTTGATCTCCTTTCGTAACTTGTCTTGTATCTCGTGATTCTGGGCTAGCTCGTAGAGGGTGTGACTTATCGTGGTCGAGGAAGTCTCGAAACCAGCAGCGAAGAAGATAAACGCTTGAGCAGCCAGCCGGATGTTCGTTAATTCTGATAAATAAATTATAGTTTATTTAACACAGCGATGCCCTCGGCGTTTGTTTACATTCTAGTGCGAAAAATACATTATTACTTCTGTAACTTCTGTCATTAGAACTCTGTTAGAACTAAAATTCATCGATTTTATAAGAATTAATTTTTTCCAATGTCCCAATTTTGAGTATTAATTTTTCTAGCTCCATATTGAAAAGTCCTGTCAGCTATTTTGGGTGGCAATGAAAGTGTTAAGAGTATATTCATGCATTCATATTCTCATGCAGTTATTACAGTTTTATGTCGAGGTCAGGCTGTTCTTAAATTACCTCGATGATAAGATATCACAAATATTTGTATTCCTAGCGTAGGAAATGCTACTTAGCATTGTCTGAAGAGGCAATTAGCATCAAATAAAGGTACCATAAAGTTCTTTCGAGGCAAGATAATGCTTGGGTGATACACAACAGTTGTTGCATAGTCTACTCTGTTAGAATAGTATGTAGAATGTCTATTGTACTTGAGGCAATAGTTATTATAAATGGTAAAAATGGTACTCTTTCGAGAGGATGTCTCAGTCGACTGAGAAAAGTTGCATCTTTAAAACGATCAGAGATCGATAAAGATTCTACTGTACTCGTGAAAATAATTATTATAAATGGTAAAAATGGTACTCTCTCTAGAGAATGCTTCAGGAAACTGAGAAAAGCTGCATCTTTAAAACGATCAGAGATCGGTGAAGATTCTACTGTACTCGTGAAAATAATTATTATAAATGGTAAAAATGGTACTCCTTCTACAGAATGCCTCAGCCAACTAAGAAAGACCGTATCTTTAAAACGATCAGAGATCGTTGAAAATGTCATAAGACAAAATTGAACGATATCGAGTGTTACATAATATTCGACACCATTCAATGTTTTTTATCATTTTAAAGATAGAATTTTTGTTTTTAGAAAAACCACGTACCGTCAGCGCTAACTTTTTCCGGCCGTTTCTTGATCTCCATAAGCACGTTTATAAAATCTGGTCTGACGATGTTGTTCTTCTCCCTGTACTGCATCGTTTCGCTGGTGAGAGTCATGATAAATTTAGTGACGTTGTTGTACGGCGCCACGTATCCAAACAGATCGTACACCTCCGGGAAATATTGTTTGAAACGGAACATCAGGTTCGCCACCAAATTAGTGTTGAAGATCGCGCGTCCGATCTGACGGAATTTGCTGTTTGCATCCGACAACGAGTCCATCTCGACGCCGAAAGCGCAGGTACCGATCACGTCCGTCGTGAATCTGGCTGCCACATCCCTTACCTCGATTGGCTCGTCTTTCTCTATCAACGTGGTCATGTATTTTTCTAGCTGATCCGCGCATTGGAGAATCAGGGAGAAGGTTCCTTTGAGTTTTCCGGACGTAAAAACCGGAGATAATCGAGTCCTCAGTGGTTGCCATTTGTCGACCTCCATGGTGAAAAGATTGTGATTCAATGGCTCCATCTATTTTCATTAAACAGTACATTTACGTTTTATTCAGAAATCTTTACTCCACTATGAATGGTTACAACGGTCAAAAAAGAAATTTGTGTATGTACTTCGATTAATCGAAACGTTCACTGTTCGTGACTCGTATACGGGTCACAGTACCACGCTTTTAGATACGCCGCTAAGAATCTGGACAGTGAACGCGTTGAACGATTTTTTTACAATCAATTCCATTGCAGAATTTTTAGTAAATGTGTTGACTAAGACAGTAGGTTGAAAGAAAAACAAAACAAAGTGGATGAACAAAATAGAAATGGCAGGTCTTTCGATAAATATAACACTTTACAAGTATAATACATACCATGGCTCGAAATATACGAATAAAATTTAAATTATAGGCATTCTCACATCTTTGTGGGTGGAAAAAAATATTTTTAAAATTATAAACATTTAGAAAATTGTGATCGATATTGCTAGTTGTTCACATTGACAAAGACTCTCGGAGCACAAGGGGATAATTTTGTACTTACCACTTTGTTCTTCACGAATGCTCGATTTCCAAATTTGGAAAAGTCCTTGATGAGAACGTCCTTGATCAAATTTGGATCGTGAACGATGAGGGTGGGACTTCGACCTTCGTATATACCGATCATCGGCTCGTCTTTGAACTTTTGATGGAGCTCGATCGTATATGCTTGCATCGTTTTCCTTCCCACGCAAATATCCAGAATATTCCCGAACAGAATCGTGGGTTTCGGTCCCTCCACGCCACGGGATTTCCAGTAATTGAAATTTGATTTTAAGTAATAGCAGACCGCGAAAACCACCGCTGCGACTGCGCAGAGGACCTCCAAACCGACAGCCATCTTGTAACAACTCGGTTACCAAGTTCTGTTGCAAAACACAAACAATAATCTTATTTTTTTTAAACAGTCCAAGCAATCTTTTTCATTTTTTTTTTTGCACAAATACACTTATCGAGAAATCACTTATAATCTCTTTTCTGAGGAGATCTTCATTAACACATTCACTGCCAGGTAAAAACCGTATAATATTCTGCAAAAGTAGAATTTTGATTTTTAGACCATCGTAAGGTACATAACCTAAAATTTGTTTCAGTACTTATTTTTGTAATTTTGTTAAAATTCATAAATTCTATCCTTTATTTTTGTCTACGTCTTAACTTGAGAATGAATTTTTCTAGCATCCTAATGGTAAATCCTGTCACCCGTATGTGAGTGGCAGTGAAAGTGTTAAGATCTTCATTAAGAAGGGGAGTATACTGAAATTGATCAGACACTCTCAAAGTGCAGAGTACAAAAAATAAATAAAAAAATTATTCGTTTGAATTTCGTGATATCGAATACACAGAAGTCACTGGAACACTTTAATATTTTTGCATTGAATTTTCACCATAAAAGATGTAAACCAGGACGAGAAAAAAATGAATTTAATGAGTATTGATTTTATTGTTTAAAATTCAATATTATTTAGTGTTGACGATTGAAAACCTGTTTTCGATTGTGTTTGATACCTGGCTGAAAAGTTCGGTTAATTCGAGACAGGAATTTTCGCGCGAGCAACTTGCCAGCTGCGATGATCTAGCACGCACTGTCAATTATGCACTGGATCCATGAAATATAAACTCCCATAGTGCATATGCAAGCGAGGCTTTGCTGAGTCACGGCGCTGTGCGGTGCGAATTTTTCTCGTTTCCTCCGCATCTGCGGACTTTCTCGAGCTTCAATAGAGTATCGTCCACCGAGCCGCAGATAACAGTTATCTGTATTGAATTATAGCTTCTAAACGCGTAGAGACAACGTGCTTTGTATACATTTACAATCTGCGTTGTCGCTATTCAGCAACAATTTTATCGTTCATCTAAAACCGGGCTTATCGGTCTTGTTTTGGAACGACTAGTCGTCCTTCTGTATCGGGAAACTAAAACTGATATTGCATTATTCTGTGTTTAGTGTTTTTCAATTTATCTGCAACTTGTTATCCGTGTCTGTACCAAGAAGATTGTCACAGACTTTTCAACAGGAAGTCGTAATCTTTTATGAAAGTTTTGCGCGTAGTCCAGCCAGACAATGTCACGATACTTTTCTGAAAGAGCACTATTTAGGGTGAAAGTATCTAACGCAACGTTTAACTTGCCTCGAAGTGAGGAAACGTTACTGGAGTTTCGCGAAGAATAAATTAGAGCCGTCGAAATCTACGGATTGTAAATTTGCAATATATTAAAATCGATTCTGTAAAAACTTATCAGGCAAAGCAATAACTCGAGTAAATGTTATTCAGTAAGAGTTATATAAGTAACAAAAAAAAATAATAATATGCATTCTTTCTTCAAACGTTATACAATGAAATTTCGATATACAAATCGTTCGGTCAAGTCTGGGAAAATTTTAATAGGAGATTCTAGAGGACAAAATAAGACGAAAATCAAGAATAGCAATTTGTTAATGGAGGCTTCGTTAAAAAGTTATTAACAATTAAATCCAAAAATTTCTTATCGTTCTGGAAAAATTATTTTTGCTTGCAGGGGTCAATTACAATCATTTTTGGTGATTACACATACCTCCGATATCGTACCCACTTTCGAGAAAAAAATTCCAGAAGGTGTGAAATTTTTCGACGGAGAAAAAAAATTTCAAATCGTTTTGGAAAAATTATTTTCGGTTGCGGGGGTCAATTACAACCATTTTTGGTGAATAGACATACCCCCGAAATTCTACCCATTTTCTAGAAAAAAATTCGAGAAGATGCAGAAATTTTTCGACGAAAAAAAAAATTTCAAATCGTTTTGGAAAAATTATTTTTGGTTGCATGGGTCAATTACAATCATTTTTGGTCATTACAATTACCCCCGAAATCCAACACACTTTCGAGAAAAAAATTCCTTACCGAAAATCTAATGTGAAGCCAGAAATGCAACCCCGAAATCTCATGTGAATCTTTAAAATCTCATAACTTCTGAACGGATTGGGGGATTTTAAAGTTTCAAAATGCAAACAACGCGTATTTTTGTGAAGATTATGTAGAAATTTTAAAAATATTCGAAAGGTTGTTCCTTGACCCCGTAAAGTTAGAAAAACCCCCCCAAAACGTGGTCCAATTTTCAAACAGCCATAACTCCAACAATAGTGAATATATTTCAATGAAACTTTTTGCTGACGTAGAGCCCATGGGTACCTACAAAAAAGTATTAGACAACTTTTCTGTACAGCGCCAACCAAATTTATTAAAAATGAAATCCAGTTTTTAAGAAAAATCGACAGGGGGTAGGTGCCTAAATTTTTAGACGAAATTAAAAAATTTCAAATCATACTAAAAAAATTATATTTATTTACAGGGGTCAATTACAATCATTTTTGGTCAATAGACATACCCCCGAAATCCTAACCTTTTTCAAGAAAAAAATTCCAGAAGGTGTGAAATTTTTCGACAAAATTGAAAAATTTCAAATCGATTTGGAAAAATTATTTTCGGTTGGGGGGATCAATTACAATCATTTATGGTCATTACACATATCCCAAAAGTCCTACGCATTTTCGAGAAAAAAATTCCTTACCGAAAATCTAATTAGGTGCCTAAAAAAAAAATTTCAAATCGATGTGGAAAAATTATTTTCGGTTGCGAGGGTCAATTACAATCATTTTTTATCATTACACATACCCCCGAAATTTTGCGCATTTTGGAGAAAAAAATTCATTAAGAACAGAACTTTAAATGTTAATAATTTTTTAACGAAGCCTCCATCAACAAATTGATATTCTTGAATTTCGTCTTATTTTGGCCTCCAGAATCCTCCATTAAAATTTTCCCCAGGGATGGCTGAACACCCTGTATAAGACATTCAAAATTTTAACTTGTTTCTTCTCATTTTTGAAACATTACAAGCGTTGAAAGTATGTTTCGAAGTTATTAAATTGACGTAGTTAGGGAAGTGGTAACGTCATCGAGCGAAGGTTAAATAAAATTGCTGAAATTGTTTAATGTAAATTTTCCTCATTGTCATTTTAGTCTTGTTGTTATTTTTGCATTTTACGACGTACGTAACGTGACTAAAATTTTAATTGCAATGTGCTCGATATGTTTCGTTTGTAAAGAGGTTTAGAAATCGCTGCTTCGAAAGCGAACAATTTGATTTAAAAACGCAGGGTTGCAGTTTTATTTTTATTGAAACTGTGCGTACAATTCATTTCTAAATTCACGTTTAAAAAGTGCATAAATTAATCTGATAATTCAGAAATACGGACAATTATCGTAAGAGTAATTAGAGACATTACGTATCTAATGAATAAATGTTAACATTCGACATTCATTATGCGATAAACAATTTCACCTAGAACTGTCAAATTTCAATGTTAAATGTATCATTATGATTACTTTTTTAAAAATATGGTTCCAAAAAGGATGTAATTAAAGTTCAGGTAAACTTTTTTATTTTACTATCACTTTAATTATTTTTCACTGCTAATCATGGCCAACTTGACATTTTTCAGATTCGAAGCTGAGAAAGGATCGAAGAAATAAAAATAAAAATAGGAAATAAAAATTAATTCTATGCCATTTTAAAATCCTCACTTCTTGGTAACATTTTATAAAGAGTTATAAAAAAAAATTAATTTGCCATTTTTATGGATACAATTTTTAATCAGAACTGCCACTATGTTTCTAAGATGTTCAAAAAAATGAGAAATTAATAATTAGATTGTGATATCACAAATTTTTCTCAAATTCTATTTACAATTTATGTTACACATCGCGATATAACGATTAAATAAGGCTACCTTGTAGATACGATCTAAGAAGAAGCTGATAAGAACCAGACAAACATAACTGAATCGTACATATACAAAAAATTGTGATTCATCCGACACTGTCTCGAATGAAAGATATTGTTTCGAGCGCAAAAATTATATCAATGCGTCTCAGTGTGTATCGTTACTGATTTATTGTATGAGACGCGTGTAAACAAATTTTTATTGCCCTGGGTTCAGGTAAATGATTTAAAATTTAAGCACCGAGAATGAAATATAGTTCGAACGACAACGATAAATACGATCTGTTTAATGACAAAAAAAAAAAGAGACTGAGCAGATAATTATCATATTAAGCGTTGTTTGTTTGCAGCTTACCAGTTGTACACATCGCGTGCAAGTAAAAATATCCGAAAATATATATCATTTCTGCTAATTTATCCTTTCGAAAATTTTAAACGAATTCAAAAAGTTAACAAACACAAAAATGGACGTTATATATTGTTGACCGTTGTAGCAGCATGTAATTGAGATTTTACAGGATTAAAATTTAATTATCAACAGTTCTTGGATGGAAAATAATACAATAATGACCACGTGATTATATTTCGTATAATAGTTTTCATTTTATTTAAATTCAAAGTTCAATCAATCTTACACTTTTGTCGTCGTTTGAAAGTGCACTCTCATCGCGATACAGTAATAAACACTTTGTATAGCACGGGCCATAAATTCCTTGGAGTCGTTGCTAATCTGCACGTTTAATTGCACTCTACAGATACGAAACTGCAACATGGAAATAGATTTGCAACAGTACACTTAAATTACACCACATAACCAACAAATCTCTTCGAATTAACGTACGCCATTAAGTAACGCAAATATATTGTGATCATTTCAATATATTATTTAACTTCGTTGGTTGTGCACCTTTCATTGGTTGCACTTTCGTTTGTTTCTTCTTCGATCAACGATCGTTGGTCGCAGAAGATCTTTATTAATGTAGGGTTAGGTCTGGGTTAGGTTAGGTTGGGTCTCCATTCGCAGCAACCTCCACGTGGTGAGACCTGGGTAATGTTATTTAGCGTTTAATTAATAATCGTATCACTCGTAGCTGAGTAAGGCAATTATTAATTAAAAACTAAATAATATTAGCAAATTGGCTGCGATCCGCTTTGCATAGGTCAACATAAATATAGAGCTTCTTCGCTAGGTTAGTTTTGATTCTCATTTATTCGTCAAATATTCTAGAGTATTGTCAGAGACGAGGTACACGAGTAGATCTCTCATCCAATGTATTTTTTCGTCCCATTTTTATGGAGTCTCGAAACCCCATTACCATTTTAGTGTCATTCGCAACGTTACCGACAGATTCAAAAATGAATTTGGATCCTTTCCATATTCAACTCACATGTATTTACACGCACACTACAGCTGTTTGACTATCAATACTAATTCAGTAAATAGTTTCTCAACTGACCGCCACCCATGAGAAGAGAACGCTAAAATAACGTTCAAATTTTCAGCTCGATATTGTAGTCAGATTGGACCACGAAAGACAAGGTGGAACGTCTACTCGTATACTTCGTCTCCGATAATATTAAATATTGAAAACTGTCAGAAACTTTATCATTATTTATGAAAGAAGTGATACATAATTTTATAAAATCGTAAGTATAAACTTATTTTGTTAAAATCAATAAATTACAATTTCTTTTCACTCGATGTATTTGTGACGACGTACGAGGTGTTATCAGACTCGGTGAAACGGAATTTTGTATTAATCAGTATCATATCGACAGTGAAAGCAAAAGGTCGTGTCAGTGAAATAAATTTAATTACGGCGAAGATCGAAGTGTTGTGAGAAATCGGTATTGAAATTGAATAAATCATTGTCGTGTTCTACGTTCAATTCTAAAAGGTGGGACAATTTGCCGGTACGTGGGAGGAAGTGTATTTCGTAATATAAGATTTCAAAATATCATTCTTCCTATTACAAAATTAGAATGTGATTAATATTTAACGTGTGATTCATTCGTTAGCATATGCAGTTATCCCTACTACCATACCATATTGTAACTACGATATTGATTATTTGAGCTAATTTACATCCGTTTTGAGTACTCGATTCGTATCAAAAACAGATAACGTATCAAGTTGGTACGACACGAACTAAAATAATACGTTAGACTCCCTAGGTCACGTAGGTTTTACCAACTTGCAGAAAGGAGATCAATTTGGGGTGATATATTTCTCCATATCGATCTCCATGCTCAAAACAAAATTTATAGAACGATGGAAACAAGGTTAATTGTTTTTTTCAAACGAATCAATCCTTTGCATGAACAACTAGATTTCGCTTTGTCGAGCAGTCGGTAAAGAAGGTAACTTGTGAAATAGTAAACTATCAAGATGGCGGTATCTCAAGGCGTAAGCTTTCGAAATATGTATTTTATAATCTAGGAGCGGTGCTTTATGAAAGAAAAACAAAAACAAAATCCAACTACTTTAAAAATTCGTTATTTATGAGCCAATTTAATATTTCTTTTCTGCTTCTTTCGTGTTCGAATCGAGCCTGACAGCAGGCAACCCAACGTTCGCGCGAGTGCAACTGTCAGGCAACTCTAATAGATTTCGAACAACAATATTTATTTTTTACGTCAGAATATAAATATATACGAAGAAATTGAGGTAGTAAAATATAAAATGTCCACGATGGTATAATAGTAAGAAAATCGTTTTGTTTGCGTTTCATTTTTGATCGAATGGTTCTTAATTACGATTAATGGAGTCTATAAATAATACTTTGAAAATCACGTAACGTATCTATATGCAGCAAACACAATACGCAGTTAGTGGAGGCGCAAATGCCTCGATTGGTCGTCGAGTTATTCACTTGACACTATTGGGATTTTCCTGCTATTGTTTGTCGCGTTTTTATATCTGCCCGGAAGTTCCTCCTTGCAGTCGACGAATAACTGTCGTAGTGGATTTAACTGGCTGAAGTAACAGAACGCAGCATGTACATACGTGAGTAACTCGTGTGCTCTCTGAAATCTCGATCGTTAGTCTACGTTGAAGCTTTAAGCTTCTCGATATAAATTTAATACGTGGATTAGCATAAAACTAACCTAAAAAAAATTCGTTTTTTTCAAGTATCGAATATCAGCAACGCCATAGGCGTAGCATCTAAAATAAATTTCTAAGAGTATTTGGTATTGGTATTTTTAAGAAATCGTTTACCAGAGATGTTCCAATAATTTTCGAATTGTTCAATTCGTGATATCAGTTATTCGATTGAATTTGTTATATGATTATTATTTATTTATTACTATACGATTCCAAAGTAAATGAAAAGTAGTTTAAGAATACAATTGTATCGAGGAAGCCAGGAAATCCCATTACGTATTGTGCACGTACGTGTAAAATAAATCTCATAAGTCTGACTATGCTCGTTCGATTACGTCATGGGACGCAATACAAACAACGAGAGACAAATTAAGCACGCTAAACCACTTTACAGTAAATGCTCTCAAGCTTCGTAACAGCGTTAGGCAAAATGGCTGATTATATATTTCAGAGTTTAAAACAACGTTCAAAATCTTGAAAATATTCGTTCGTATACAAAAAAAAAAAAATCATATTAGAAGATTATTATTAATGAACATTCTCGATTACGTGCATCATCGATCATGTTGTAACAAGATTATTAATCTTAGCGACACTTGTTCATAATCGAGTCTTCTCAGCGATTAGGGGACCGTGTATGAAATTTCTGAGAAGCAATCATCTTCTCCCATTTGCATTATTTCTCAGAAACCAACAAAGATATTTTCATTTTCAATTTTTTTTTTTTTTTTTATTAATCTTTTGCAATAAATCTTTTCAGTGGCGACTTTTAGAAAAGGGAGGGGATCTTTTTAATTTTTCTCAGAGTTTATATCAAGCTTAAAATAGATATTAAAAATTAAAGAATTGAATATTAAAAATACAACGAAGAGAGAAATTTTTTTTTGTAATTTTGAGATAAAATTAAAACTGAGCTTTTGTGATGATAGTTATATGTAAGGAAGTGAGGTTGATCACTTCAGATTTTCAGATCTTCAGATGGTTGGACGCTTCATCCACTGTGGGCGCGAGTAGCCTAATCTTGTAAAATTTTTTTGAAAAATTTCATTCCATCTCGTGTTTCTTGAACAATATTTTATTATAAATCTTTGTATTTTAGCATTTACCTCCCTTTTTCAACGTTACATGCACCCAAAAATTTACTAGATGAAAATAGTACTGCGATACAAATCGATATTGCACTGAAAAGTATTGAAACAAAAATTTACTAGACAAAAATAGTACTGTGTTACAAATCGATATAGCACTAAAAAGTATTGAAACAAAAATTTACTAGATGAAAATAGTACTGTGTTACAAATCGATATTGCATTGAAAAGTATTGAACCAAAAATTTACTAGATGAAAATAGTGTTACAAATCGATATTGCACCAAAAATCTATGCAAACATTGAAAATTGAATCTCTGATTGGAGAATCGTAAGATTTCAGTGGGTGTACGGTGACTTAGTCAGGTTCGATAAAACGAACAAACTGCGCCCATTTTCGCGGCAAGCTGCTTACCGGGTATTCGCACCACCGAGCTGCGTTTCAAACAAAAAAGAGAGAAAAGACATTCTGAAAAGCTGTTCAGAGTCTGGTATTACCGGATCCAATATACAAGGTGGCTCGAAAATTAACCGATAACAGAAACATTCGAATGAGATCCACGAATAATTGCTTTGAAGAGAACGACTAGTGTCTCCATCTATTACTCTACTTTTCCAAGATGGCGCCCTGTTCTTTGTCCACTCCACTCAAAAATGCAAGCAGACTCAATCACAGCAAACGAAATGAATCAACGTAAACACAAAACGTGTAGCATAATTGATACATTATTATATAAAATAATAGTTAGAGACCCTTCATAATATAATAGTTAAAGAATCTACGTAATAGTACGATTTTTTAGGGTTTGAAAAGGCTTGAACACCGGATGTAATGAAATGTAGGATGCACTAGGGGTTTTTGAATATTTTAGAAATAGTTTTATGCGTTTAGAAGGTTTCGTAGCCACCGTGTATAGAGATCAGTGGCCGTTCTGGAGTACCGAGGCTATGAAAGCCTACAACATCCTCGCTCGAAGGCCATGAACGTGTTCTACCCCCTGACGTCCCACCAGGAGGTTATTGGACTCGAAATAACTAGCCTTCTCTTCGTTATCCGAGTCATAAAGGAATGGTTTACGGAAAGAACCGTCAGATTCTAATGGACGTGCCAGGATGTTTCTTTCCCTAGGCTTTTGAACCTTAACATATTCATCATAATAGGAATATTGAGTAAATAGTGTAGAATAATACTATTAACTGTTAGAGAGGTTGCTAGAAAGGGAAGACTTCGATTTTTTAATTTTGGGAGCCATTTTGGTGCTACGAATTCTGGCTAGTTTTATGCTAAAAGCAATTTTCATACGTTTCAGCTATTGGCAGATTTATTTATTAGCAAATCAGGGTGAAATGCAATAGAAATCTTGACCTACTAAATAGTAAGCAATAATTATATTAACTGTTAGAGAGGTTGCTAGAAAGGGAAGACTTCGATTTTTAAATTTTGGGAGCCATTTTGATGGTGAAATAAATTTTTTGATAATTTAGGAGCCATTTTGGTGCTACGAATTCTGACCATTTGTTAGCAAATTAGGGTGAAATGCAATAGAAATCTTGGCCTTGTAAATTGTGTACAATATTAATAATAACTATTAGAATGGTTGCTAGAAAGAGTAGACTTCGATTTTTAAGTTTTGGTCCTGAAATAAATTTGACAATTTAGGAGCCATTTTGGTGCTACGAACTCTGACCATTTGTTAGCAAATTAGGGCGAAATGCAATAGAAATCTTGGCCTACTAAATAGTATACAATATCTTAGAGTGGTTGCCAGAAAGAGAAGACTTTGATTTTTAAATTTCAGTCCTGAAATAAATTTGATAATTTAGGAGCCATCTTGATGCTACCAATTCTGACCATTTGTATCCTAAAACCAATTTTCATACGTTTCAACTATTATCAAATTCTAGAATTAACAGAAATGACTCTTCATAAGAGAGGACTATCCTAATTTTGTTTCCACAGCTTTCCAATAAAAAATTTTCACAAAATTCGCGAATGCTCCCCCCGTTTTAGGGTTACCATTTTTATTGAAGGGAGATAGAACTTTCAGATGAATTTGTTTCAGTTAAAGGAAGTCTCCTGGTGGTGTGCCTTGTTTCAATAGCAATGGCGATGCCTGCAGCTACCGATCAGCCATTGCAGACCGTTTCGCAGGGGGCAAATGAATCTGAGCCACTGCAGACCGTTTCCCAGGGGGCAAATGAATTCTCGTGGTCGCTGTTTAAGGTAAAGAACCAGAGGGTCTGACGTGAGATAGGTGTTAATCCGATCGAAATCGTTTAGACTGTGGCAGAGGAGAATCCAGGCAATCTCATAATGTCTCCTCTCAGCGCGATCTTCGCTCTTGCTATGACCGCCTACGGTGCTCGCGGGGAAACGGAAAACCAGTTGAAAAGAGTCCTTCATCTGCCATCTTCGAACAGTCTTGGTACATCTGGCTACCAAGCACTCACCGATACTCTCAATGCAAGTATCGATTTTATTCCAATTCTCTGATATGAACGCTATATACAGGAATTTGAACAAAAAGAAAACCACAGATATTTATATTGCATTCAAATATTATATTAAATAGATAATTTAATGTGTCCGTTTTATTATGGAACACCAAATTTTGAATGCAATTTCTCAAAAATTTTAGTACTCAAATATGAATACCATATATAGGAATGTTAACAAAAAAAAAATTATGGATATTTATATTGCATTCAAATATTATAAATTCTATTATGTCAAATAGATAATTTAATTTGTTAATTTTATTAGAGAAAGTCAAATTTTAAATGCAATTTTAAATAAAATTTTAATACTCAAATATGAACACCATATATAGGAATATTAACAAAAATAAAACCATAGATATTTATATTACATTTAAATATTGTAAATTCTATTATATCAAATAGATAATTTAATTTGTTAATTTTATATCAGAACCTCAAACCTTAAATCAAATTTTAATACTCAAATATGAACCCCATACATAGGAATCTTAACAAAAAAAAAAAAAACCACGGATATACGGATATTATAAATAGATAATGTAATTTGTTTATTTTATTAAAGAACGTCACAGATAACGAGCTCAAGCTGGCGAACAAAATCTTCCCAGCCCAGAAATTTGCCGTGAAGCCAGACTACCAAGAATTGTTAACAAATTACTTCCGTTCGGCGGTTCAAAAGGTGGACTTCAGCAACTCCAGGGAAGCTGCAGGCATCATCAACACATGGGTCCAGGAGAACACAAACGATCGTATAAAGGATCTGCTCACCTCCGGTTTGCAAATTCACATATCGTTTGTGATTTAAAAATAATCGATGTTTCCTACGTCTAATCTTCGTTGATTTCCCTTGAACAGATGACGTGGACGAGAGCACGGCATTAGTGCTGGTTAATGCAGTGTATTTCAAGGGCCAATGGAAGGACAAATTTGATCCACAGGATACCAGGGAACTACGGTTCCACGTTGACGAAACTACGACAAAAAAAGTTCCTACTATGTACAGAACTGGCGATTACCGGTATGGCTATGTTCCAGGGATGAACGCGACGTTTATCGAAATCCCATACAAGGTAACCCTTTTTTAAAACTATAATTAACCTTTTTTCTACTGTATCAGCCACCATTTCATCACACATTCGACTTATCACGTTTCTTGAAGTTATATTTTACTAGCATGACCCGTCTCGGCTTCGCCTGACCTTGTGCAAGAGCACTTTGTGATCACACGATCGTCCTGACATATATATCTGCAACAATGCAATTCTCTCGCGAGAAAGCGCTCGAGAAGCTTCGCCACCTGGCGGTAACATCGCAGTACTGCTACGGGCGAGGTATCGCGCGGGCCGAATATGCGCATGAGCATGGTCTGCCAAACAGTCGTACACATGAAATCTTTGCATATAAATTACATGTTAATAACGCGCTTCTGAGACATGCTACATAGCCTATGTCCGTCCTAGAGTATGCAGGAATAACGTGTGAAAATTTGAGGAAGATCGGTTCAATATGTCTTGAGTTTTTCGCGAACATAAAAATCGGCTCTCTCTTTATATAATAGTATAGATAACTGCTTAAGATAATTTTGATTACTCATTTGTACACCTAATAGATTACATTTGTTGTCGAAGTTATGCGAGTAAACCAATTTTCCAGGGTGACGAATTGAGCATGATCATTTTTCTTCCTGAAGACGTTAACGGTTTGAACGAGGTGCAACAACAATTACAAGATATAAATATAGCCAATCTCTTCGACGATGCGTACGAAGGCAGGGTGGAATTATATTTGCCAAAGTTCAAGATCGAGAGCAAATTAATCCTCAACGATGTTCTGCAAAAGGTACGTTGTATAGAATTATAATTCCATAAATTTTTACTTTAATTTTATTTTATTTTTGCTCCATTCAGATGGGTTTGACCGACATGTTCAGTGACAGAGCCAACTTTTCTGGTATCGCTGACGACGATCTGTCGATCAGCAAAGTTGTACAAAAGGCATTCATCGAAGTGAACGAAGAGGGCAGCGAAGCTGCTGCCGCCACTGGTGAGTCAAAGAGAAAACCTTTCAAATTCTCATCGATCACTTTTACGAACTAATATATTGCTCAATTTCATTCCTCGTTAAACCAATCATCCTGCTTTGGTATCATTTAAAATAAAAAAAGCTCGATTGTAAATCTAATTTAAGATACCATCGACCACCATTTTACTTTTGAAAAAACCAGAATCGAAGCATCGATGTACTTTTCGTCAGGACATTTTCCGAATTTCGAATTCTAATTTTACAGAAATAGATTCGTATTAGCTAATTTAAAAGCGTTACGATGAACGTGTTTCAGCTGTAGTGTTCAACATGAGGAGTCTGGTCGTCAATAGGCCATTTGTCATGAAGATCGACCGACCATTTTTCTATAGTTGCATCTACAAAACACAAAATACAAAACCTTCGAACGTTGTTGTATTGTTTAATGGGCATTTCAATGGCCCTCAAAACTGAAAGTTTATCGGACAATGTTAAACGAGTGACATAGTAAATGCATGTTATATACAGGGTGTTCGACCACATCGGGGAAAAATTTTAATGGGAGATTCTGGAGGCCAAAATAAGACGAAAATCAAGAATACCAATTTATCGATCGAGGTTTCGTTAAAAAGTTATTAATGTTTAAAGTTAATGTGTGCACGCAGCTGCGCGTAAGCAGCTGCGCGCGGATCGCTGTTCCACAGGCGCAACTTCAAACGTTAATAACTCTTTAACCAAGCCTCGATCAACAAATTGCTATTCTTGATTTTCGTCTTATTTTGGCCTCTAGAATCTCCCATTAAAATTTCTAATTATAGTAAATATTTTTAAACTTTAACTCTTCGTAATAGTGTGATGGACGAATAATTTTGTGAATTAATTTCTTTAACGTTGCTTTAAAAATAAATCATCCGTATGAATAATAACATTTTATATTACATAACAATTCTGTTGTAGGTATGGTGAAATATTTGAAGCGAGGTATACCGATATTCGAAGTAAATCACCCGTTCCTCTTCAGTATCGTTAAAACATCGTACGATAATGAAACGAATACTTCTATTAACACACTAATATTCACTGGGGCCGTGCACGAACCTAAGATTTAAAAATTTGTTAATATTAGTTATAGTATTGAACGAGCTCGAAACATTTAAAACTGGAATACTAAAAATACTAATTACAACGTAATTATGATTAATACTTTCTATCATGTTTCACGCTGCTGTTACGTTTATAATGTAAACATTGCCTTTTCCCCAATTTCTAACCCATCACGAGCTTCTCCACTATGAGACAGAATAAACCATTTTGATAAATCTACAATTTTGTTACAGCAATAATAGCAGCTACAACTTCGCTTTTCACTCTTAGACCAGAATTTAGAATTGACCGTCCATTTGTCTATGGCATTGCTAAAACATTGTCTAACGATAAATCTAACGCTTCCGATAAAGTATTCATATTTAAAGGAATCGTTAACGAACCCATGATGTGAATAAAAAACAATGTTAGAAAATTGAATAATGTTATGGATATACCGTACGAAGTTTCATATAATGTAATCTTAATGAAATCAAACGGTTTATCTCAGTTTACTCAGCAATAATAAAAAAATAATTTGTCGTCGATATTTAACAATGTTGCCCTAAATTTTTCCTCGACACGTGAATATTCCTGACTATGTGTATTTTTAATTATACTGGAAGCAACAAGGGTGGGTGTAAATTGCACACAAGTATATTATACAGGGTGTTCGGCCACTCCTGGGAAAAATTTTAATGGGAGATTCTAGAGGCCAAAATAAGACGAAAATCAAGAATACCAATTTATCGATCGAGGCTTCGTTAAAAAGTTATTAACGTTTAAAGTTAAAGTGTGCACGCTATCGTGCGCACGCGCTGCGCGCAGATCGCTGTTCTACAGGCGCAACTTCAAACGTTAATAACTCTTTAACGAAGCCTCGATCAACAAATTGCTATTCTTGATTTTCGTCTTATTTTGGTCTCTAGAATCTCCCATTAAAATTTCTAATTATAGTAAATATTTTTAAACTTTAACTCTTCGTAATAGTGTGATGGACGAATAATTTTGTGAATTAATTTCTTTAACGTTGCTTTAAAAATAAATCATCCGTATGAATAATAACATTTTATATTACATAACAATTCTGTTGTAGGTATGGTGAAATATTTGAAGCGAGGTATACCGATATTCGAAGTAAATCACCCGTTCCTCTTCAGTATCGTTAAAACATCGTACGATAATGAAACGAATACTTCTATTAACACACTAATATTCACTGGGGCCGTGCACGAACCTAAGATTTAAAAATTTGTTAATATTAGTTATAGTATTGAACGAGCTCGAAACATTTAAAACTGGAATACTAAAAATACTAATTACAACGTAATTATAATTAATACTTTCTATCATGTTTCACGCTGCTGTTACGTTTATAATGTAAACATTGCCTTTTCCCCAATTTCTAACCCATCACGAGCTTCTCCACTATGAGACAGAATAAACCATTTTGATAAATCTACAATTTTGTTACAGCAATAATAGCAGTTGGAGCTTCGCTTTTCACTGTTAGACCAGAATTTAGAATTGACCGTCCATTTGTCTATGGCATTGCTAAAACATTGTCTAACGATAAATCTAACGCTTCCGATAAAGTATTCATATTTACAGGAATCGTTAACGAACCCATGATGTGAATAAAAAACAATGTTAGAAAATTGAATAATGTTATGGATATACCGTACGAAGTTTCATATAATGTAATCTTAATGAAATCAAACGGTTTATCTCAGTTTACTCAGCAATAATAAAAAAATAATTTGTCGTCGATATTTAACAATGTTGCCCTAAATTTTTCCTCGACACGTGAATATTCCTGACTATGTGTATTTTTAATTATACTGGAAGCAACAAGGGTGGGTGTAAATTGCACACAAGTATATTATACAGGGTGTTCGGCCACTCCTGGGAAAAATTTTAATGGGAGATTCTAGAGGCCAAAATAAGACGAAAATCAAGAATACCAATTTATCGATCGAGGCTTCGTTAAAAAGTTATTAACGTTTAAAGTTAAAGTGTGCACGCTATCGTGCGCACGCGCTGCGCGCAGATCGCTGTTCTACAGGCGCAACTTCAAACGTTAATAACTCTTTAACGAAGCCTCGATCAACAAATTGCTATTCTTGATTTTCGTCTTATTTTGGCCTCTAGAATCTCCCATTAAAATTTCTAATTATAGTAAATATTTTTAAACTTTAACTCTTCGTAATAGTGTGATGGACGAATAACTTTGTGAATTAATTTCTTTAACATTGCTTTAAAAATAAATCATTCGCATGAATAATAACGTTTTATATTATATAACAATTCTGTTGTAGGTATAGTAGTGACATTTTTGATGGAAAGTACACCAATGGTAATCGAAGTAAATCGCCCGTTCCTCTTCAGTATCGTTAGAACATCGTACGATAATGAAACGAATACTTCTGTTAACACACTAATATTCACTGGGGACGTGATCGAACCTAAGATTTAACAGTTTATCAATATTAGTTATAGTATTGAACGGGTTCGAAACATTTAAAACTGGAATATTAAAAATACTAATTACAACGTAATTATAATTAATACTTTCTATCATGTTTCACGCTGGTGTTACGTTTATAATGTAAACATTGTCTTTTCCCCAATTTCTAACCCATCACGAGCTTCTCCACTATGAGACAGAATAAACCATTTTGATTAATCTACAATTTTGTTACAGCAATAATAGCAGCTACAACTTCGCTTTTCACTCTTAGACCAGAATTTAGAATTGACCGTCCATTTGTCTATGGCATTGCTAAAACATTGTCTAACGATAAATCTAACGCTTCCGATAAAGTATTCATATTTAAAGGAATCGTTAACGAACCCATGATGTGAATAAAAAACAATGTTAGAAAATTGAATAATGTTATGGATATACCGTACAAAGTTTCATATAATGTAATCTTAATGAAATCAAACGGTTTATCTCAGTTTACTCAGCAATAATAAACAAATAATTTGTCGTCGATATTTAACAATGTTGCCCTAAATTTTTCCTCGACACCTGAATATTCCTGACTATGTGTATTTTTAATTATACTGGAAGCAACAAGGGTGGGTGTAAATTGCACACGAGTATATTATACAGGGCGTTCGGCCACTCCTGGGAAAAATTTTAATGGGAGATTCTAGAGGTCAAAATAAGATGAAAATCAAGAATACCAATTTATCGATCGAGGCTTCGTTAAAAAGTTATTAACGTTTAAAGTTAAAGTGTGCACGCTATCGCGCGCACGCAGCTGCGCGCAGGTCGTTGTTCTACAAGCGCAACTTCAAACGTTAATAACTCTTTAACGAAGCCTCGATCAACAAATTGCTATTCTTGATTTTCGTCTTATTTTGTCCTCTGGAATCTCCCATTAAAATTTCTAATTATAATATTCACTGGGGCCGTGAACGAACCTACGATTTAACAGTTTATCAATATTAGTTATAGTATTGAACGAGCTCGAAACATTTAAAACTGGAATACTAAAAATACTAATTACAACGTAATTATGATTAATACTTTCTATCATGTTTCACGCTGCTGTTACGTTTATAATGTAAACATTGTCTTTTCCCCAATTTTTAACCCATCACGAGCTTCTCCACTATGAGAAAGAATAAACCATTTCGATTAATCTACAATTTTGTTACAGCAATAATAATATTTGAAGAATCGCTTTTCACTGTTGGACCAGAATTTAGAATTGACCGTCCATTTGTCTATGGCATTGCTAAAACATTGTCTAACGATAAATCTAACGCTTCCAATAAAGTATTCATATTTACAGGAATCGTTAACGAACCCATGATGTGAATAAAAAACAATGTTAGAAAATTGAATAATGTTATGCATATACCGTACAAAGTTTCATATAATGTAATCTTAATGAAATCAAACGGTTTATCTCAGTTTACTCAGCAATAATAAAAAATTAATTTATCATCGATATTTAATAATAATTATTAATTAATAATAATGCCTTAATTTTTTTCTCAACACCTGAATATTCCTGAAAAAATTTTAATGGGGGATTCTACAGGCCAAAATAAGACGAAAATCAAGAATAGCAATTTGTTGATCGAGGCTTTGTTAAAAAGTTATTAACATTTAATGTTCCGCCCGTTTCGAATTTTTTTCTCGAAAATACGCAGGATTTCGAGGGTATGTATATTCATCAAAAACTATTGTAATTGACCCCCGCAACCGATAATAATTTTTCCAAAACGATTTGAAATTTTTTTTTCCCCGTCGAAAAATTTCATATCTTCTCGAATTTTTTTCTCAAAAATGGCTAGGATTTCGGGGGTATGTCTAATGACCAAAAATGATTGTAATTGACCCCTGCAACAGAAAATAATTTTTCCATAACGATTTGAAAGTTTTGAATTTAATTGTTAATAACTTTTTAACGAAGCCTCCATCAACAAATTGCTATTCTTGATTTTTGTCCTATTTTGACCTCCAGAATCTCCCATTAAAATTTTTCCCAGTGGCTGAACACCCTGTATAATTAAACTCTGAAATAAATCCATTTTGTATAATTCGACTCTTCTCGAAAATTTATCGCCTAAATAACTTCGTCATGGAAGTTAATTTTTTAAAATTTTTTCCACGTCAGATCATATGCAGGTGAGAAATAATATCGTGACCATGAGTCGAGTTCATGAATGAATCAATTCATGTTTTATCGCCAAATCCAGTCGCGAACAACTTTCGTCCGTTGGCGAAAAAAATGGGCGTTTACGACGTAGCAGGTAAAATAATTTGAAATTTAAAAATGCTGGCCAATTACTTTGCATAAATTTTACGCATAAAATGTTTCAAATGTGTCCGTCCAAATATAGGAACCTGTTTCAGGGACACGCTGATAAATAGTTTATATATTGCGGAATAATTAAATTACCAGGTACACTTTCCTCCTGAAATCTGTTGATCAACAACCGAACCAGTAGACTTCTAACTTTGTCGTATTAATATAAAATTAATTAATAATTAAATTTCAAGAGCCACCATTTTGGGTTTAAATATTTTACGAACGAAACAAATATATAAACATATTTTTTTGTTCATCGATAGTGCCTTCGATCTCTTCGAATTATACGTGAAATATAATATTAGTCGAATGGCCACCCCCCCCCCATGTTTTTCCAACAGTTTTAATTCCCGTAGCTCGTCCGACGCGGAATATTTAACAGTCAGGTAGTATCGATACGATCGTTTCATTTTTGTTGCATTTTGAATCGGATGGCCCGTAATTTGTATTAATGAAGGACTAATAAGATTTTTAAAAACATGTTGCTTCGTTTCACGCGACTACACAAACAACAAGATACGCGCGTCTCGTGATTGGTCGCTCGCCGACCGCTCAACACGTGATAGGTCAGTTCTTTCCACCAGTGGGATTACGCAGGTGATCTTTGCAGCGATTTATACCGGTTCGTTAAGCACTTTCTTGCAGTCTGCGTTTGACTTTCGAAGAGGATCCACCGAAGGGACAGAACGCAAAATGGGTATATGTGAGTAACTAGTGTGTTTTATACAGGGTGGGAGATATAATGGGAGATTCTAGAGGCCAAAATAAAACGAAAATCAAGAATATCAATTTCTTGACTGAGGCTTCAAAATTCAAAAATTTCAAATCGTTCTGGAAAAATTATTTTCGGTTGTGGGGATCAATTACAAACATTTTTGGTGAATAGACATACCCCCGAAATCCTATCCACTTCCGAGAAAAAAATTCGAGAAGGTGTGGAAATTTTTGACAAAATTAAAAAATTTAAAATCGTTCTGAAAAAATTATTTTCGGTTGCGGGGGGCCATTACAATCATTTTTGGTCATTACAATTGCCCCCGAAATCCTACGCACTTTCGAGAAAAAAATTCCTTACCGAAAATCTAATTAGGCACCCAAATTCGACGAAAAATAAAAATTTCAAATCGTTTTGGAAAAATTATTTTCGGTTGCGGGGGTCAATTACAATCATTTTTGGTCATTACACATACCTCCAAAATCCTACGCATTTTCGAGAAAAAAATTCAGTACGGTCGAAACTTTTAACGTTAATAACTTTTTAACAAAGGCTCCATCAACAAATTATTATTCTTGATTTTCGTCTTACTTTGGCCTCTAGAATCTCTCAATATATTTTTTCCCAGGGTTAACCTAACACCCTGCATATGGTAAATAAATAAGGAACTTGCATATTTAATTAAAAATGATCATTTAAAATTTCTATGTCAGAAACTGTGTCTTTCACAGAGAAATTGCAAACTTTCTTAGCTAAGCTGAATCTTTTTTGAGAGTCGAGATACAAAAATTTAACAATATCTTATTAACAAACGAATTTTCAAAACACGTGGAAACGCTGGAGAACTCTTTTAATGATTATTTTCATCTCGATGATAATCTTCTCCTGTCTAATATAAATTCAAAATTATATTTTATAAATTCAAAGTTAAGATTCTAATCAACGAGACATCTTTTCACAGATAAAGGAAGCGTTTTGGTAGCGTGCCTCATTCTGATAGGAATAGCATCGCAGGCGACTAGCAATCAACCATTATACGCCATTTCAAGATGCACAAATGAATTTTCGTTCTCGCTACTGAAGGTACAGAGATCGAACAATAAAATCTAATATAAAATCGAACGAATTACGAAATGAAAGTTGTTTCACAGGCTGTGGTGGAGGAGAATCCTGGCAATCTTGTAATGTCTCCCCTTAGCGCGGCCATTGTTCTCGCTATGGCTGCCTACGGTGCCGGCGGAGAGACGGAATTACAGCTCAAAAGAGTCCTTCGTCTGTCGTCCGCGCAAAATCTTGGCCCATCCAATTATCAAGCGCTTATCGACATCCTCCAGGTATCAATTACTCAAAAATAAATTTCACAATGCAACCAGCTTACACATTTTATTTACAGAATTCCAAAGAAAACGACTTTGTTCTCGCGAACAATCTCTTCGCCGGGGAGAAATTCTCCGTGAAGCCGAGTTACCAACAGCTGACGGAGAACTTCTTCCGGTCCATTGCTCAGTCGATAAACTTCAAGAAAGCCGAGGAGGCTGCGAATATGCTCAACGCGTGGGTCCAACGGAAGACGAACAATCGCATTAAGGAAATTTTCAGTCAGAGTTAGTAAACTTTCCGCTAGAAATATTTGTGGCGTCGCCTCACCTACTCGCCGCCAGAGGGATACGCTCTCGTCCCTCTCGCAAGCATTCGACCGACCCCTTTCTTGCTATATATACCCAAGAACCTGTCGTCTGAGGCAGGACTTGCTAGAAAGCTTGGTGATGAGTCCACTAGCACACTCCTTCCCTTTCTTACCTTCCTACGAAAGTCACAAACTGTTTAGCGGAACGTAGCAAACAACTTCAAAACTTCGTCGATTCTTCTTCGAACAGGTGAAGTGGATTCCAATACAGGATTGATGCTCGTCAACGCAGTGCATTTCAAGGGTCTGTGGAAAAAGAGATTCAACCCCGAGCTCACCAAGGAACGGCCATTCTACTTCAATGGGAACACCATTAAAAATATTCCTACAATGTACACAAATGGCATCTACAAGTTTGGCGAGCTTTCAAATCTGAAGGCGTCGTTCATTGAAATACCATACCAGGTATACATTCAACGAACTCGATTAATCAATTGAACAGTACTTTTAAAACGATTGAGCAAACCCCATTCTTTCGCCAGGGTAACGGTATGAGTATGGTCGTGATTCTTCCGAACGAAGTAAACGGTCTGTTCGAGGTCGAAAAGCGACTAGAAGGTTTAAACATCAACGACATCTTGAATCAAGGATACGAACGCGAATTGCATCTGTATCTGCCGAAATTCAGGATCGAAAGGAAAATAGATCTCAACAGTGTTTTGAAGAAGGTAGACTTCTATAATGTTATAAGTAATAGAAAGATAATATTTTTAATATTTAATTTAATTTTTATTAATTTTGGTCCTATTTAGTTGGGTCTGATCGACATGTTCAGTTCGCGCGCTAATTTCTCCGCCATTGCCGACAACAATCTGTTCGTTAGCAAAGCTATACAACAAGCATTTATCGAAGTGAGCGAAGAAGGTAGTGAATCTGCCTCAGCCACTGGTAAGTCGATCGATTTGTTGTGGTAATTACGCGAAAAGCATTGTTTACCCATTAACACTTTACCGACCGGTAGCGGTTGATTAATCGGCTATCGGTCGGTAAGTGTTGGTCGGTAAAAAAGTCGATTAACAGGCTATCGGTCGGTAATGTGTTAAGAGAGAGAAGAAAATGTTTGTGTTACTTTGTTGCAGGATTATCAGCCGTAGTGGCCGCCGCACTTTTCCAACCAGAGGTCAAAATCGACCGTCCGTTCATCTATTGCATCGTCAAATCACTCTCTAGCGAACAATCGTCTAGTGCTGAACGCGTACTAGTATTCGCGGGACGCGTCAACGAACCACAGATATGAAATGAAAACGAAGCTCAAACGCGTAATACTGTTATACATGTACCGTAATAAGGTTTCATAATTTTTTATACAAACTATATATATATAAGCAATGGAATAAAAATGAATACGATCCAAGAGTTTATTTGATAAGAAGAGTTCCAATTGTCCGCCATTTTATAGATTCGAACGTTCATGGCGTAGAAATTGCAGACCATGATTCCCATGAATCCTTGGAGGATTTCCCCTCAGAGTGGTCTTGTATTTCATCGTTACCTAATTCTACTTGTATTTTATAGTTTGTTAACACTTTACCGACCGGTAGCGGTTGATTAATCGGCTATCGGTCGGTAAGCGTTGGTCGGTAAAAAAGTTGATTAATACGCTATCGGTCGGTAAGTGTTGGCCGGTAAAAAAGTCGATTAATAGGCTATCGGTCGGTAATGTGTTAAAATAAAACACGCTCGCTCGATAACGTCAAATTCGAAACCTAGCTCGGTACGTCAGGAATCTTTTAATCGGACCGCCATTAGCTTCTTAACCAAACTTCAAGTCGTCAACTAAAACTGACGAGTATAACATATCAATTTCTATCAATATATTAATATGACTCGAGTCTGCGATCTTTTGTCTTCGAATATTAGGAACACACGGGTACTCGAGACAGAATTCGAATTAACGTGACCGACAGCGATCGATTTGGATCTGGCCAAGTTTCAAAAGCTTTTTCGTCGTCTGATGTTACTCGAATACTCAAAATACAACCCCAGATTTGTAACTTTTATAACTAGATCGACGTTCTCGGGAAAGTAAAGTCTAGGATCTTTCACCTTTCTTTTTTAATCGATACAGTTACGGTAGTAGCGGCGAACTTCAAGAAGTCCGCATACGGCAAGATGGCTGGTGCCATAGTGCGTTGTTTTCAGATCCCGAGGAGACAATTAGGTAAGTTTTGACGGTGTTTTGTTTCTATCGCGTGAGAGTGTCCAAAATGTTACGAGCGAACGGTGCTACGCAGAATAGCGATGTTCGTTTTTTCGAACATCGAAGTGGAATTTAGTCCTTTCGTGTCACAATTGAGACAAGGTTATGTAATTAAAGGGATCCGTTCGCTTTTAAGGTCTCCTTGGAGTGACGTCGAGTAACCAGCAGCAAAGAACGCTTGCCGATGCCGCGCCGGAAGGAAAGGTACGTTTATCTCTTTATTGGTTAGGTTTTACGCGTTACGTGATACCGTGACACAAATTTGGAATCGTTTTGATCTCGTTCGCAGAAAAGGGGTGGGCCCCTGGCCGACCAGGACCGTATCTTCACAAATTTGTACGGCAGACACGATTGGAGGTTGAAGGGTGCCATGAAGAGGGGCGATTGGTACAAAACCAAGGAAATCTTGAATAAGGGTGCCGACTGGATCATCAATGAGATCAAGGTCTCTGGTTTGAGAGGTCGTGGGGGCGCCGGTTTTCCATCCGGCATGAAATGGTCTTTCATGAACAAGCCAGCCGATGGAAGGCCAAAGTATTTGGTAGTGAACGGAGACGAAGGGGAACCTGGAACATGTAAAGATCGCGAGATCCTACGTCACGACCCTCACAAGCTGGTGGAGGGTTGCCTCATTGCTGGTCGTGCGATGGGAGCTTGCGCCGCATACATCTACATTCGTGGTGAATTTTACAACGAGGCGTCCAACATGCAAGTGGCCATCGCTGAAGCTTACCAAGCCGGTCTTATCGGAAAGAATGCCTGTGGTTCTGGTTATGATTTTGATATCTATGTGCAACGTGGAGCTGGAGCGTACATCTGTGGAGAGGAGACGGCTCTTATCGAATCTATCGAGGGGAAACAGGGAAAGCCCAGACTAAAACCTCCTTTCCCGGCCGACGTTGGCTTGTTTGGTTGCCCGACCACCGTCACTAATGTCGAAACGGTCGCTGTGGCTCCTGTACGTATTTAGTAATATTGAGTAACAAATACGCGTTAGAGTCCTGTTTCTAAAATTAAAATTCTCATGTATAGACCATTTGCCGACGAGGTGGACCTTGGTTTGCGTCATTCGGTCGGCCACGTAATCACGGGACTAAATTGTTCAACATCTCCGGACACGTGAATAACCCATGCACCGTGGAGGAGGAAATGTCCATTCCTTTGAAAGAGCTCATCGAAAGGCATGCGGGAGGGGTAATCGGTGGATGGGACAATTTGATGGGTGTAATTCCTGGTGGATCTTCCACCCCTGTCATACCCAAAAGGTATTGAAATAAACCTTCCAGAGCGTGTCTTAATCTAGTCTTGCAATGCTAATGTTATGCTCCCATTTCAACAATTTTACAGCGTTTGCGATACAGTATTGTTAGACTTCGACGATCTTGTAAGGGTGCAGACTTCCTTTGGTACAGCAGCTGTGATCGTCATGAATAAACAAACCGATATAATCAAGGCCATCACGCGTTTGATCAGCTTCTACAAGCACGAATCTTGTGGACAGTGTACACCGTGCCGCGAAGGAATCAGCTGGATGTTCAAAATCCTCAAACGGTAAGTTTTGCTCGACTTCGGAACACAAGCGATCGAAAGATATTAAAATTGTCTGTACTTTTCAGGTTCGTGGATGGAAAAGCGGAACAGCACGAGATAGATATGCTGTGGGAGCTGACCAAACAGATCGAACTGCACACCATCTGCGCATTGGCGGATGGTGCCGCGTGGCCGGTGCAGGGTCTGATCAGACATTTCAGGCCGGAAATAGAAGCGCGTATTCAGGAGCGTAATCGAGCCGTTTCCAATTAGAGAACTAAAGGTAGACGCTAGACAAGTCGAATTTTCTACATTTATTACACGTCGAACGTGCGAAAGGAAGAAAGTGCGGGCTGTATAAACCTTGTAAGATTTTCTATTTATTTTCAGTGTACATATGCGAATCCACGCGCCGTGTAGTCTCATTTCCTATGTAATTACGCCGGACCCTGGTTTAATCTGAACGGTTCGGCGAATAAAACTAATAGAAAGATGAAATTTTCTGTCGTTGTATGTGCCGCGTTCTATTACAAATGACTCCTGTTCGTCCGCAAAAAAGAAAAAAAACAGCTAGCGGGACGTACAGGGATTAGGGGATTACTTCGATTGTTCCACCTAATCCCACTTTTGACGTCCCCATAATCCCCACCTAATAACCACCGCGCGTATTTAACGAACAAATTACTTTAAATAATGAGATAATTCGGGATTTTTACTTTTACTAATTAAGGTTGGAAAGGCACTTATCGAACTACGCGTGATTCGATATATCGCAAACGAGAGTTTCAGTCAGTGGCTATAACGCGTGTTGTAAATGGTGAAATTGTTAGATTCTAAACCAGTGGTTCTAAATAAGAAAAAATTTGTGGAACAGCAAGGACTGAACCTTAGGTGATTCGCTTGAAAATGCAAGTTACATCTTGTTTACGGACGGTTGCAACAAGAATCATTAAAAACTGATCAAGAATCGCTTTTTGTAAATATAAAAAGTTTCCAAGTGTTGAATATACTTAGCACGAATGGAAGAAGGTAATTTTGAGTTTTATATTCCTTTGGTATTGGTTATTAGGCGACATACCGTCCCGTTTGTTACACTTAACCTTACTTTCGACCACAACATTTATTTTCTTCTCGCGTTCAGAATAAATTTGCAAAAAACAATTACGACGATTCTGATGTTTAGCAACAATTTAAAAATCACGATGATTTTGTGATAGAGCACAAAGGATTGTACAATTTTTGGTTCATACGTAAAAGAAACGTGAATAACGGGTTGGATGTTTAGAGGAACGAAAAAGTAAAAATATTTCGGGGCAGAACATATACCGAACGATACTTTTGCTTTTATTCGTCCATTATACAAGAAAAAATTCTCTAGCTCTAATGTTCCGCTGACTACGGTACAGATAATAATGTCGCTCGGATACGGTACAATGTGCGTATACAATATATATGTATATCGTATACAATACAAATATATATATATGTATATACATACAAAAGCGCTCGCTCGATTCGCAGACCGATGAATTTTCTCTCTGTTGCCATTTTGATCGGGACTGTGTCTTTTTAGAGTTTCGTTCCTCTTCTATTTTTCTGTTTTTTTTTTATATAATTTTTTTTTTGTTTTTTTTTTGTCAATATCAAGTTAGTTTACTTAAATAAAATTAAGCTAGCCATTACATTCGGAATAACTTGCGCTCCCGACAAGGTATCCCGGTGAGTTAGTAAGCGCACACACTGTCTTTTATGATAGGTCCGTTGTTACATTATCTCCCTTCTACCTCTATATACCTAAAAATCTCTGTCCACCTCTCTCTCTCTCTCTCTCTCTGTTTGCGTCTTGCTCTCAACTATCGCGAAGGGCAACGGGAAACGCGTACGAGTAACCTCGAATATCCCCTCGTCGACAGGGGTCTTCATTCTTTATTTTTTTTTTCATTCGGGTTTCGCGATTATTACAAAGTATTCGTACAAAAGGAGATTTTTGTTCCCTTTACGTAATCTCGCATCCGCTTGTTCCTATACAGCAAGAGTGTCGATCGCATTCGACAAAATAGTTACAAAGTTCTAACAAAATTGTTGATTCGGTTGGTTATTGCGATACACGAACAGAGACGATCGGTTCGAGCCACATATTTTACCCACCGTGTGGCGCTAGTCGCGACACCGCAGGATCTATAGCGCAGTCGAAGAAGATACCCTATTGCTCCTGTCACGCCGAGCGTTCAAAATTTTTATTTCAAATCGTTCCCTCACGGTACGTTCTGTATTCTTAATCTAACGGTCGAACAAATATCGTTTAATCAGGGTCAAAGAAGAATTTTTGGACGTTGTAGATTCTTTCTTCGGGTTAGACTGTAGATCCCCAGTTTCCCGTTGCCGGTCACTGTCAAACCGGTACACGATAAAACCTTATGTATAGCCCCCCGCTAGAGGAGACGAACGTGACTCGTAGCAAAATAATGTACGACGTTAATCTTCGTTATTTCACTCGGTTCGATTGTACTTGTTGCGAGTCCCTGCCGCTACGGCGCGGCCGTCCGGACGCGTTGGAACAAGGTACACGTACACGATATGATTGAAATGAAGCTCTCTCTCGCTCTTTCTCTCTATCTCTCTCTCGTTCTCTCTTTCTCTCTCTCTCTCTCTCATACTCTCTTTCTCGCCGGACGCGCTCGCTCTTTGGCATGGCCATTGGCTATCCTCTGGCAAGATCACGCTTATCGTCGGAGACCTCTGCCGCTGGACCTGCGCCACTATTTAGTTTCCTGTATATGTGTAATGTGTATGTATATATATATATAATCAGCCATAAAAATAGACGCGATTCTATTGCAGTTTCCTACGTCAGCCCCCTTTGCCTGCGCGGCTCTCGAGGATGATCACTGAACGCCAGTCGACGACGATTTACACCTTCGTTTTCGTTAATCATTCCCGCTGTTCGGTTCGCGAAAGGACACGCGGTAGGATCTTGTAGGTACGAGCTTCGATAGATGTCGGAACGGTCGCTGGTTCGGGTTTTGGTTCACGACGTTCGGTTGGGCGAACGGTAAATAGGTCGAATCGACGAGATCGTGAAGTTGACGGCCCCCCCCCAAAAAGCTAGATTTACGGTCGTTAATTGCACACACTTTTATTGAAACGGGTGGCGGGATTTTATGGAACTAGAAAATATGTCTGGATAAGATTTATGAATTCTAGCAAGATTACAGGTAGAAGTACCGAAACAAATGTTAGGTTATGTAGTTTACAATAGTCTAAAATCAAGATTTCTTGCAGAGTATTGTTTTGAGTGTTAAATTCAACATAAATCGTTAACGAATAATATTTAAGAGTTCGTGGAATCTAAATTTGACGAGTTTCGTAAATCTAGTCTTAAGGACCTAAGTGGGACGTAATAGGTTTACTTTGGTGTTTGTCCAAATAGATGGCGTGTACAGATCTTTGGATAATTGACTTCTATAGCTACGGAGAAGTGATTCGTATTGATTCTGTTGATTGACTGTTACAGGAATCGGCAGGGGCATGGAAGTGTCCAAGATGGAGAATTCATGAAAATGACCTGGACCTATTTCGTCCTCGTTAGAAATAGAAAGGAACGTAATCTTTTCTCGTTCACGTCATAAATCAAGAATACGAACGATACGATCCATCTGGGCTACCGCGGCTGACAGTTGCATCAATCTTCTCTCGTGCGCTCCGGTGGCAGTGACTTCTCGACCGACCCGTTTATAGAACCAGTCGAAATCGTTCCATAGTTCGATCTTCCGATCGATAACGCGTGCACCCGGGCCAAAGCTGTCGCCGAAGCGTTCGTTTTCAAGCTCGATGCCTCACGAGGTGAAGCTGTCGCTCGAACCTTGGCACGACAGACATGTCGAGGGAACAGTTCGAGGTGTACCCGGCGAAACGAATACAGCGATCTTAGTATTCAGACAGGTGACCCTTGACCTCGAGGTGTCCACGGTTCAGGATAGACCTGGAGGGTCACTAGAACTTGGAGGTTTCGTTATACAGGTTGTCCATATGGGGCTCCCCCGTTCCTTTGTTTATTGGCAAGCCAGAGATGCTACTTTGGAACAATGGCGTTTCCAACGCGTTGTAGACAATAGAGCGGCCCGCCGCCAGTGAAATGCGGTCTGCTGTCCGTATTTCGGAGCAGACATTGGATTTTGTTAATCGAATTCCTGCCTAAAGGCTACACAGACTATATTACAAGACATTAAAAAGCGTCGTACAGTCGAGAACAAAAGGCGCGTGCTGTTTCTTTTATTCCTATGCGGCCAATAGACGATCGGTATCCGAACGAATCGCTAAACTGACACTCGAGCTGATCGGTGTGTTCGTTTCGCCAGTCGTACAACCTGGGTTCCACCGAGTCGGTCTCGGCTGGCGCGTTGGAGCCTCGAATCGGCGCAGACACCTGGCGCGACACTCGTCGAGGACCAGCGTCGAGGTCTCATCGCGAGTCCAGCGACCTGGCCACAGGGGTGGGTACATGTACGATGGTCGAGATCGCTCGCTGGCGGATGGAAGGCACGGGGTAAGGATATCAAAAAGGGGTACGAAGGGTGACAACAGCTCGTTCGCTCGATGGTGGGCTCCTGGACCGGAACTATCGGTCCTCCTCGCCCCAGTCGCTGGCCGCCCACGCCGGTAGCGGTGTCTCGTACTCCCAACCGGGGCCGCAGTAGCGCCACGCGTGCAGATACATCACCAGATCGGAGGGCTTCGGGTCCCTGTACTTCACTTTGCACTCGTAGCAGTGCGGGTCGACCGTCATCTTGTCGTTTGCGAAGCTGGAATCCGGCGGCTCGGAACCGGTCTGGGTGCCCACCGTCACCTTCAGCGACGTCTCCTGTTGTTGTTGTTGCTCCTCCTCGCCGAGCCCGGGCGTCGAGGACGGCGACGAGCCGTCCTTGTCGTTGCCCATCACGCGATCCTCCATGTCAAGCTTCGGCTTGAACAAGCTCATCTCCGAGTCCCCGTCCATACCCAGCCAGTTCTCGGCGTTGTGGATGCTGATCAGGTCTTTGACCAGCTCCTCGTCGGTCTTACCAATGTTCCCGCCTTTGCCCTTCTGCGGACCGAACACCACGTGGTTGTACAACGGGTCGTTCACCACCGGGTAGCCCAGGTACTGAAGGTGCACGCGGATCTGGTGCATTCGGCCGGTCTGGGGCTTGCACAGCACCACCGACGACTTGCCATTGTAGCTCAGACGCTTGAAACGGGTCACGCAGTCCTTACCCTTCTCGGATACCTTGCACACGCCGATCTTGTACGACACCACCTCGATCGGCTCCGAGCACACCACCTCCTCCTCGGGGAACTCGCCCTCCACTCGACACACGTATTGCTTGTGCACCTGAAACACATTTTCAGGTTAGATTCAAAATTTGGGATGGTTCTTGACATTGATGGGTTTGCAATCTAAAACGGTCACGAATCTCTATAGTCATATATTGTAGAACCTCGATTGCAGTAATGATTCTTAAAATGAACCCCTAGACCGTGATTCGTAAGTTGAATATTTCTATCCCTCCTATTTGAGGGGGTACTTCTCGGAGCCAGTGAAACACGAACGACGACATTTAAAAACCGATTACAGTTATGATTCTTAAAATGAACCCCTAGACCGTGGTTCGTAAGTTGAACATTTCTATCCCTCCTATCTGAGGGGATATCTCTCTGAGCCAGAGAAACGCGAAAGACGAGATTTAAAAACCGATTACAGTTATGATTCTTAAAATGAACCCCTAGACCGTGGTTCGTAAGTTGAACATTTCTATCCCTCTTATCTGAGGGGGTACCTCTCGGAGCCAGTGAAACGCGAAAGACGGGATTTAAAAACTGATTACAGTAATGATTCTTAAATTAAACCCTAGATCTTGATTCATAAGTTGAACATTTCTATCCCTCCTATCTGAGGGGGTACCTCTCGGAGCCAGTGTAACGCGAAAGATGAGATTTAAAAACTGATTACAGTAATGATTCTTAAAATGAACCCTAAACCGTGATTCGTAAATTGAACATTTCTGTCCCTCCCAACTGAAGGGATTCCCCTTAAAGCCAGTGAAGCATGAAATACGATATAAATATCTGCTGTCGAATTTCGCCTCAGCTGTACGAAAAATGAACATATGAACCCAGGAGCGATCATCGTAAGAATCATTACTGTATTTCATGGAAATTTTGTTCCCTGCACGTGGTTATTCTTCGTTGAATCGGTCACCTCGATTATTGCAACAATCCAGTTCCAATTTCGTGCAATAATCGAGGTTCTATCTTGTATTTTAAAAGATTTTAAGATCCAACTATTTGTCAAGAGTACAGTTAAAGATCATGACTTAGTATTTCAAGATACTTTCACGAGCAGGTGTCCAACCACAAATTGATTCGAATACGTCGGGGCAGTTTCTCCTTAACGGTCACTTTTTTCCCCCCCATTTCGCGAAACACATTCTAAATCCTCGAGCTAAATCCACGGAGCTGCATCGTCGCCATTCGAAGATTCAGTTTAAACCCAAATCGAGAACGATCGGGTTTCCCTTCGCATACCGAACGTTACGAAACGAACCTGTCGGTTTCTTATTTGGTGTTCCATCTGCCTCGCCTTCTTCGGCGTCCTACCGAAAAGGAGAATGCCGCTGGTCAGTCTGTCCAGCCTGTGGATAGTCCTGAGGTTCTTCAGGTTGTACTCCTTCGCCAGGATGAATACAACGGTGTTGTGTCGATATCGTCCGCAAGGGTGCACCTGCAATCCCAAGATTGGCTTGATTTATTTATCGAGACAACAGGATGAAACTTTGAACGAGGGACAGAGAGTTAGGAAAGATTGCAATATCGATGATAGGTCTGCCGACGATATGGGTTGGGGAAAGGATTTCTTGTATTCCCAGAGACTGTTTCCAAGGGGTTTGGTCAATTTCGTGGAACGCACTTGTTCTGTGCCATTACTGGGTCAACCATCTTTAACTTTTCAGACTAGGACAGACTCTTCTATATCTATATCTGGAAATCACTATTCACTCTTAGTTTTCTAACTTTCTCATTTACAATCTGTACTGGGATTCAGGAAAATATATATCATTACACAAGAACAAAATTGTGCCAAGAAAAAAAAATGTTACTCTATATTTTTATAAAGAATCACTTGGTACTTGTATATAATAATAAGAAATTATGTAAGTTATATATTTCATATTAAAATTGTTCTTTCGTGCACCATAAATTATATCCTTTAACTATGTAAAGAGTCAACGAATATGGGAAGTTGGAAACATAGGTTCACCGTTCGATCACCGGAGTGCAGCACCATCGGGGCCGCGTGCAGTCCGGGATGGGTTACCGGCTCGAGAAAAAAAAAGGTTATAATACTCTTTCTCTGTCAGTTCCGTAATTGAAGATTACTTGCCTAAAAAAAAAACTGTGTTTCCCGTATTTTAGAACATCTAATCCAGCTAGTAACGATCTAATGGAGGCCTCGTGTGTGTTGTAATCGAGACAAAAGTAGTAACCTCGAGGCAAAAACGGTGTGTTGAAACCCCGCGGACGGTTTACTTGAAAATTAAAAAGGGCGCAGCGAATGGTGAAATCCGAGCCCTCTCTAAGCCTCTCCCCGACTCCTATCGTGCCATTAGAATATTACCCAGTGCAATCGTTGGACTCCGCGATCGTCTGACGCGTTTGGACAAACACGTGCACGTGCACGGGGAAAACGCACCTGGCAAACACGCTCGGTACACGCGATCGCGGCTGCACGAACACCGACCCATTTCTCCCGGCCATTCGGAACAACAAAAAGAAAACCGATTTGTCCCCCAGACAAAGGGAAACCGATTTGATGGCCGCGGCGTTTACTTGCTCCCGATGTTTGGTGTCCGGTTAGTTGTGGACACAGAGGGGGGAGGAACAGTCAACCCTAAAAAAAATGTGAGTTTGACCCGCGACCAGAGAAAGAGAAAAAACCCTCGCTGATGAAAACGAGCCTTTAATAACTGTTTGTCTAACCGGTCGCTCGAAAGGCCTCTAGCATTACGAAACCGATTTTTATTTATCCGCTTCTTGCATCTGTGATTCGCGTTAGGTTAGGGCAACTGGTTTCACTGAACAGTGTATCCTAGGGTATAGGGAATTTTGTACGAGTATTTTCATTGGTCTACGAAGCTTGCAAGGTTTTAATATAGAATATATAAAGGATCGTCGGTTTATTCCGAGTTATTATATTCGGAATAAAAATGTTTGGAATTAATTTCAGTACGGAAGACTAGAAATAACCTAACCTTAACCTAACCCACACCGCAAGAATAAGAAACATCTCGGATAATAAAGTTGGGCGAATCACCTCGTATAATCTAAGATTAGTCGTGGCAGTTGTTTTCTTAACGTCCACGAGCGTGTTCCGATGAACTGCAGTCTTAATTTTAGGTTATGTGGCTTTGAATTCTTTAGGGAACAGAGGGAATAGAGTTTTGTTTATTCAAAGTTATATATTTTAATTTCTTTGTAAATTCTGTAACATACAGTTTACACTGTAATATTAATAAATGAGAAATTAATAAAAAAGAAGGTAATCAGAGGGTCCAAGTGGAATAAGATCGTTACAGGTCAGACAATGGAGAAACTAGCTTCCGATAAAATAAATTTAATTGAACGTGGCAATATGTTTGTAGTTACATGTTGAAAGAACGATTCGTTGGAAGGTCCTCGCATGTTTGCAAGGACTATTTAAGGCGTGAACGTCAAATAACCGGGATAATAAACAGGAAGTAGCGGCTCGTAAAGACGCGCTGACAGTCGGCTGACAACAAGAGTCACTCGATTCTCCGGATAATCCTATCTTTATTCCTCTAGTCTCGTCGCGCGCCTCTGTCCTCATCCCCTATACTACACGCTTGACCTAATCACTACCAAGCCCCAGGCAGACTGTACAGGGTGGGTCATGTGGAATAAAATTGTTTCGTACGAAATTAAAAATTTTATATCAGTCGCGTCTGCCCATTAATCAATATTTCTACTTGCGTTCAGCGTGGTATTATACTAATTAGCGAACTATATCTTTATGCAAATTCATATTTTTACTAATAGAATTAATAATTAATAAATATCATAATTCTTATATTTTTGCATAGCAAGTGCATTCTGTAGTTTTTTGAAAATTTAAATTTCCCAATAAATGCATAAATATCCGTCTTGAGACATCTTGTTTCTCTCGTGTCTCTTGTTACAAAATGGAGTCTCCGGTTAAAAAATACTGTATTTCTTTTTCGTTTAATATTTGATTTGGCAAATAATTTTCTTGCAACAAGAATGTATTTATTACTGGTTATCGAATAGACATTTTTTCCAATTGTACTGGGGAAGAATATTTCTCTGGCCAATTGGTTTAAAGCCACCCTGTACAGTTCGTGCCAACACCCCGTCGTTTCACCCTCGTCTTTCAGCTTGAACTATTTTTTCTCACGTTAAGAGGCTCTCCAGGTGGTCTTAATTTTTTAAGGCGATTGCATCGCGGCGAGCATTGTTGTTCGACGAGTTCTTTTTTTCCCCCCACTCCGCGGACGACCGAGAAGTTAAAGTTGGCTCTGGACGATCGAGAAGCGTTTGAATTTTAATGGCCGGCGCGCGTTTCGTAAATCGATCCTCGACGGTACGTCTTTCAAACAGTCCTACTCGAGCTTTCTAAAACCTTTTGAGCATTTTACAGTTACACGCGCGTATCAAGTTTTCCAATTTTCTCTCGTGATAATGGGTATTTAATGACCTCTTAAAAATACTCCAAATTATATACAAAACTTCTATATGTAATAATGAATATTTATATTTTTTTATTAACAAAAAAAAATTAAAATAATTTAATTTTTGAACTTGGATTTTGATACGATATTCGACTCAAAATTGCACATTTTTCTCCGTTCTTTTATTAACTCAAAATATCAATTATATAAAATTACTATATACAAATTTTCATCTAATAATGAAAATTTATATTCTTTTTATTAACAAAAAAAATTTAATTTTTGAACTTGGACTTTTATACGATATTCGACTCAAAATTGCACATTTTTAATAAAGAAAATTTATATTTTTCTTATTAACAGGAAAAAAAAAATAAAAATAATTTAATTTTTAAATCATTAGACACATTTTGTTAAACTCTCGGACTTTTATGCGATATTTGAACCAAAATTGCACACTCCTATTAATTTACAATATCGATTCTATAAAATTACTGTCGGGAGACGTCGAGTATGGAATGCAAACGTAACTTTTTATTATATAAATGACTTTAACGTGGACCAAGAGGTACCAGTAGCGATTATTATTTATGTATATTAAATATTCAGTTTTCGAGTCTAGTATTACGTTAATTTGTCGGGTGGATGAAATTACCACGGAAATTTTCACTTCGTAAATTGGGTAAACGAAAACTGGCGCGATCGGATGCATCGTAAAATCTAATGCGCGCTTTTCAACGGGTTTCCGGGGCCCAGCAACAAAAGGCTGGAAAACACAACTGTCCGTGTTCCTCCCCCCGTGTAATTAAATGATCATTTTGCGGCCGACGAGAATGTTTTTGCGGCGATTAACTGAATGGGCTGAATGGTAATTAAGCGACGTCCAATGTTTCGCACAGTTTCCCTTTGGCGTTGCTCCATCCACGGACCCTCGTAAATTAAACGAAGAACGCGGAACACACGAAACCCGTACGCCACTTTTTGACGAGCCAAGAAACACTTTGTACATTTATTATTCATAGGAGTCCATCAAAAGTGACGTTCAAAATCCAAAATCGAAAATTCAAGACTTCAAATTTTTTTTCTCACGTAAAATTGCCATATAAAAATTCCAAATTTCTGTCACGACGTGAAATTTGAAAATTAGAATTTTAATCAATTTTTCCCCGTCGATGTAATACAAAAAAAATTGCAAATCATTTCCTAATTTAAATAAATTTTTCCCTGTCGATGTAATACGAAAAAAAAAAAAATTTGTAAATCGTTCGTTCATAAAGGGAGCAGCTACAAATTATTATTTTCTAGGAAGGAAGGAATTTTCATAATTTCCTAATTTAAATAAATTTTTCCCTGTCGATGTAATACGAAAAAAAAAAATAAAATTGTAAATCGTTCGTTCGTAATCAGATCAACTATAGTTATTATTTTCTAGAAAGGGAGGAATTTTCATAATTTCCTAATTTAAATAAATTTTTCTCTGTCGATGTAATACAAAAATTTGTAAATCGTTCGTTGGTAAAGGGAGTAGCTAAAAATTACTATTATCTAGGGATTTTATTTTTTGAAAAGTTTTAGATTAAACTTGTGATTTAATATTAGCTTTAATGTGAATAGAGATACACTGTATTGTTTCGAAATCTTTGACGATCCTCCGTTGACATTTCCATTGGCTGACAGCCGCCATTGATTTACTACTCTAAGCGAGTCCCTAGCATGCCTTTGACGACTGCGTACGAGAATGCCGCGGAGTTCTAGCAATTTTAATCGCGCCCCTTTATAAACGACACGTCCCGTAATGACGCCCGACCGAGAAATAATTTACACCGGCCATTACGCTGGTTGACGAGAGACAGTCTGTAATTTTCATTTATAACAGAATTATGCGGTGACGAGGCTCGGCGACTAACGCGCCTGGACATTAACTAACAACCGGGACTCTGTTTCGAAACGTTGTACGGTTGATTTATTACATTTAGATTTCCGATCGTCCCTCGATCCTTCACGAACAATTTGTCAACGAATACCTCTCATTCTAATCGTGGTATTATATATAATGGAAAATAAAAATTTAAAAATACATTAGTAACGTTGTACTATGTAAATAAATAAAATAGTTATACACAGGGTGTCCCACAACCCCTGGGAAAAATTCTAATGGGAGATTCTAGAGACAAAAATAAGACGAAAATCAAGAATACCAATTTCTTGACTGAGGCTTCGTTAAAAAGTTATTAACAATTAAATTCAAAAATGTCAAATCGTTCTGGAAAAATTATTTTCGGTTGCGGGGGTCAATTACAATCATTTTTGGTGAATAGACATATCTTCGAAATCCTATCCACTTTCGAGAAAAAAAATCGGTTAGATGCAGAAATTTTTCGACAAAAAAAATTTTTCGAATCGTTCTAGAAAAATTATTTTCCGTTGCAGGGGTCAATTACAATCGTTTTTGGTCATTACACATACTCCCGAAATCCTACCCAGTTTCTAGAAAAAAATTCGAGAATGTGTGAAAATTTTCGACAAAAATTAAAAAATTTCAGATTGTTCTAAAAAAATTATTTTCTGTTACGGGGGTCAATTATAATCATTTTTGGTCATTACACATGCCCCCGAAATCTTACCCGCTTTCGAGAAAAAAATTCGAGAAGCTGTGAAATTTTTCGACGGAAAAAAAAAATTCAAATCGTTTTGGAAAAATTATTTTCGGTTGCGGGGGTCAATTACAATCATTTTTGGTCAATAGACATACCCCCGAAATTCTGCGCATTTGCGAGAAAAAAATTCAATATGAGCGAAACTTTAAATTAGTTAATAACTTTTTAACGAAGCCTCCATCAACAAATTTGTATTCTTGATTTTCATCTTATTTTGGCGTCTAGAATCTCCCACTAAAATTTTTCCCAAGGGTGGCCGAACACCCTATATATTTAAACCAAATACAACAAAAGTTAAGATAATAGTTATATATATGGGATCTTTAATAACAAAAATTCGACCATTGAAATTGTTTATTTAAACTCAATTACTCGTTAGAATGTTGTAACAATGCCTGAAAGGTTTGATAAATAAAAATAAGCGCTTCGAGGATCGCGTTGCTAGGGAAAGAAACAAAATGGCGGACGAATGGGAATCCTTAGACGAGGGAACGGTGGATGAGGCGTGGAGGGGGGAGAAGGTGGCTAAATATCTTGAAGAAAACGCGAAACGAGTGTCAGCGCGTTGAAATGCATTGCTAAATTGCTGTTCGATTATTCATAACGTTCCGTCGCGCACGTTTGAAGGTTAGTCGATGAGTAGACGCCACGCGTCGAGGACGTAGATAGGAGGAATTAGTAAAATACACCTGAGAAGCGTGCGTGCGGTTAATTGGTAGCCAAAGCAACGGAAACTTACCGTGACGCGGCGAAGGTGCAAAGGAAAGAGGCGTGTAAAAATTATGGGAGGGGATTCGAACGACGATTGAACACGCAGCGATAGTTTTCTCTCCAAAAAGCCCAACTAAGTATGAATTTTATGAAAATTATATATTCTTTTGATTTATTAACGAAATTCTTTGCAAATCTCCACCCTTGGGTTCACAAAACTATTTATGAAATTAGAACATTGTCTCTAGAGTTATTTTTAGGTTAGTTTGTTCTGTAATTTTCTTCGTTGGTCTCGTAATTCAAGATGGCTGACTTGGGATATATCGAGTCACACAATTTTGAGGTTAGATCCACGTTTACAGAATTATGAAATTCTCAAAGCTGTTTCTACCGATCAAATTATTTCTCGAGTAACATTTCAGACCTCATAAAGTCCAACTCGATCAGCCATTTTCTTTTAAGGGTAAATTATGTCTCGACTATGTGAAGTTGTATATGTTTCTTATTTTATTCAATTTTCTTTATTTGGGATATATCGAGTCTTATGTAATTTTGAGGTTAGATCCAGGCTTACCACTTCCTTCTTCCCAAAGCAATTTTTACCATTCAAAATATTTCTCATAAAATCCAACTCTCGAGTCACTTACCCTTTCTAATAAAAACTTAGTTTCTCGAATAACCCATAAACTAGCCTCGATAAAATTCTTTTTCCCCCCAGAAGACTAACTCATCCAAGGTTAGTAAATTATCTATCAAGTCACAAATTTCCTCCCTTCCCCTTTTTCCACTTTGTCAGACTTCATCCCCCGAAATAAGCGAACTATCTCTGCCAAAGAATTTCCCAGATAACCCCATCGAAATCAAGAGTACTCCGCCATATTTCTTCGAAATCACGATGACGTTCGGAGACTCCGTAGATTCTCCATAGATGGCGCGCGAATGGATTCGATCGCCCATCCCCGGGACAGAAAAGAGCAGATTTGATCGCGAGGGAGCGTTCGCGGCCAAAAATAATCGGCTTAGCCAGAGACAATCGCGTCGCTGCGGACAATCGTCGCGTCGGGAAGCAGAAGACGAGGCGACAAGCGTTTTGGCAGTACAGTCCTGGCAGTACACCACTTACAGGGATGGAGGCGGGCTTGTTGACCACGACGACGTCCTCGTCCATGTGTATCACCGTGATCGGCTCCGAGGTGACAGGCACCTCGTGTCTGCAACACACCAATCGCAACCAGCTTAACGTGGCTTTGTTCCTCTTTCGCCGGACCTCCTTTCTCTCATCTTTCGATCAGACGTCTCATTCGTTCGCAACACACACGGACAAGAAAAAGTATTGTTCGATATCTATCGTAGGGAGTCTAGGTAAATCAGTATCGTATAAAAACTACAAATTTCAATTCGAAATTATTTTCTACGTTTAATATCCAATGTTATTTGCATCCAAACGCAAAGGTGGCGAAAAGATTTTGGTAGAAATGGACAACGGTAAAAAAGTTCTCTGTCTTAACGCGTTATCGACGGGGAACGAGAATGCCCCGTCGGTAATGTGTCAAGTACGAGTTTCGATCCTTATTTTTAGGTCATTCTCTAACCAACCGAGAAAGCATCGTTCCGTACGAGTTTTATTCTACTTAATATTTGCTTAATCTCGCGGGTAATAAATTTTGTTTGTAATACACGTTCCGACGGGAGTATCGTGTGTAAAGAGAGAACTATAGGCTTGGCTGTATAGAACAGTTTAATGTAAGATAAACGTGTCTCAAACGGCTAACGACGGCTGCTAACCTGCAATTATAACGCACGCGACCGGGACTCGCGGGGTCCACACGCACGGCTACTCGACACGCGCATGCGCCGGAACACCGCATGGACATTTCTAACGCGATTCGAGATCTAGGTTTTGCTAAATTTAGTACGACTATATTCGTTATTATCTAATCGTTGCAGAGCTAATATACTTTTGCAATTTTTTCAGGATCCAAGGATCGAAACATCGTTTACGAACTTCCATTTAAGCCTGAATTTATCTGTCGTTTTAAATATTCGTCTTCGCTTGCAATTTCATTCGAGACTGATCTTTCTTTCTCCCTACTATACATCAATGAGAACACGTAGTCGTTGCAAGCATGTTTTCTTTTATGTTTTAGATATTTGTTTTGAGTTTAACTATCTGGAAAATTTTATTGAAATTAAATTTTTGTTATTACTCTGACACACATTGGAACCAATTTTTCTTTCAGAAGATAATTTCGAAGCAAATATCGAGAACTTTAAATAATAAAATGCTCAGCAAAGACTATGTATGTTCATTATTGTTACACAAAGTGGAACTTCGTTTATCAGAGGGACACACAGAATTTCGAAGATCTCGAAAAGTTTCAGTTTCTTTAAGCTCTTGTAAAATCTGGAAAGTTTCGAGTTTCTTGAAAGTCTTTAAAAGCGACAATTCAAAATGATCTTGATTGCTTCGAACGTTTGGAGAGTTTTAAACTTTCAGGATTATCAAGACAATCGTGAAAGTTCCAAGATTTTTCGAGACCTCCAAGAATTTTATGATTTTTCAGTTGCAAATTGCATAATTTTTTTTCTTAACACTTTACCGACCGGTACCGATTGACCCTAGATTATATATCTACTTTTTCTTGTACTTATAAGAATGTTAAATGAAACTTTGCGACAGTGGTTATTATATTGTTCTCTTTCTGTAATTACAGGGTAATTCAATCTAGTGATATTTTTTATTTTCATGAGAACCGATTAATAAGCTACCCGGTCGGTAAAGTGTTGAGCGGTAAAAAACTGATTTACCGGCTATCGGTCGGTAAAAAGTAGATTAATAGGCTACCGGTCGGTAAAGTGTTAAAAAAAAAAGTGATTTTTTATCAAAAATAACGTGTTGTAATTGTCCACAGATGCAGATAAACGAGGCTCCCCCATACACACGCATATACAGGGTGACAAAGAAGTAACAGTCGGAGGATAGGACTGAGATTTCGAATTATGAAGGAAGATGTTCGAGTTTGTATGTGTCTGGCATTCCAAATGGAAAGGTGAGCATGAAATGTTAAATGTAACTTGTTTCCTCAGAAACCGTTCACCCGTGGCGCATGCTTGCGCGATTTTCAAACGGGATTTCTTAATTATTTACGATTAATTTCATTTTTTTAACAATTTTTTGGATTAAAAACGAGAAATACCAATTGCTTCGATTTATTCACGTTTATGCTTCCGTTTTGCAATACTCGAAGCTAGATACTTTCTCTAGAGAATACTTTACCTTCTCCGAATGGCAATTTATTTCACCATATCGCATTCGTTGGATCAGAAATATCTTCGTGGTACTATATATGTGTGTATTCTTCGAGACGACTCCTTTCATAAATAAAATATAAAACAGCCATGAAAACTATAATATATAAAATTTTTAAATCTTGTTTAGTAATAATAAGGTGTGGTTATTATGGTAACAGGCGATATATTTAGTGTGATTCACGCTGATTTGCTTTTAATAACAGTAATAGATTGCGCATACAGGGTAATTCATTGCCTACGAACAAGTCTGAAAGTGCCGGTCACCGGTGACCACCGGTGGCAGACGAGTCGAAGAATCATTTTTCATCGAAGAATTATTTTTCAAAAGATGGATATTTAGTGGTCACAAACAATTTTTATTAATGGAGGTTGGGTGGGTTAGGTTAGGGTGGGTCTCCATTCGCAGCAACCTCCACGTGGTGAGACCTGGGTAATGTTATTTAGCGTTTAATTAATAATCGTATCACTCTTAGCTGGGTAATGCAATTATTAATTAAAAATTAAATGATATTAGCAAATTGGCTGCGATCCGCTTTGCTTAGGACATCGTAAATATAGAGCTTCTTTAGGTTAGTTTTGATTCTCATTGATTCATCAAAGATTCTAAGAGTATTGTCACTGATGTGGTATAGAAGTAGATCCTTCATCCAATGTGTATTTTTGCGGCCTATTTTTTTTATGGGGTCTTGAAACCCCATTACCATTTTCGTGTCATTCGCTACGTTACCGACAGATTCAGAAATCTTCCACAGTCAACTCACATGTATTTACGCAAACACTACAGCTGTTTGCCTATCAATACTAAAATTCAGTGAATTAGTTTCTCAACTGACCGCCATTCATGTGAAGAGGACGTTAATAAAAATCACCTCCGAATTTTCAAGTCGGTATGGCAGTCAAATTGGGCCACGAAAGTCCATAAGGTGAAGGGTCTACTCGTATACCCCGTCCGTGGTTCGAGTTACTTCGATGCCATTTAACCCTTTGCACTCCTATGTCGAGCGTGACTCGACATTCTTTCAAGTCCAATCCAAAGAGATATCATACACTTGTAAATTACAAACTACAGCAGTAGTGTAAATGAAACAGATATTTAATTGAATTTGTTTGTTCCTCTATTTGTTTAAATTGTCCGATTTGTTAGTTAACGTAAACTTCAAACAAAACACTTAAAAGCGTTGGGTGGTCTGGTAACAAAATTGAAATATAATTCGGAGTGCAAAGGGTTAACGAACCGATCGATAAAGAAGAGTCGGGAGTCGACCGAGTCCCCCCCCCCCAGCGCAAAGAAGTCACCGAATCCGTGCGGATGGTTGGAAAAATTAAACCGTTACGTCGATCGAGTGCTCTTCACCGTCGAGAAAATGGAAATAGCTCGCGACGAAAGTGGAAACCGTTGCGCGATAGAGCACCAACCCTTTTATCCGACCGTCGGCTAAACAGGTTAATGGCGAAACGCGCGTCGACTGAGTTACGCGAAAGAAGAGTCGTGGGCGAGTAGGGGGGAGGGGTGTGTGTAGCGAGCGTCAGATAAAGAAAGTTAGATGGCGACAAAGGAGCGCGAGACGGAGACGAAAAGGGAGCCGTGGAAACACGACAGGTGGCTACGTACGTACCACGCTGCGACTCCAATTACGCGTTCCATCTACCTAATGCATTCCGCTCCGTGGAACTGCAGTCGTCGCGATGCACGAGGAGCATTCTCTCGTCGCGGACAATAAGGAAGCCTCGACTGGAGGAGGCTTCTCTCGCCGCGGCGGCTCGAGCGAATTTTCGAATGCTTTTCGTGCTTCTTTTTCCATCGTTTCTTCGCCCCCACCCCCACCCCCCTCTGATCCCCCTACGTCTTGGCTTTCTTTGTCTTCCAGTCATTCTTTTCTGCCCCTCTGTTTGCGTTTCGCGTGGCAGCCTCCTTCGCTCTTGACCGCAACTAGCGTCGGTAACGAAGAGCTCTAGATTTTTTTAACTTTTAATAATTTTTGTTTTGCATTCGACGCGAGGCAACAGATTTTTAATTTGTTTAATTATTCTTCCGTCTCAAGTTGTAGTAACTTTAAAAAAAAAAAAATCGAGAAAAATTCTTACCAATTGAATGTGAATTTGATCCGTTAATAAAATTACAATTACCATTTTCTGTTTATTTAAAAAAAAAATTTTAATATTTAAAATACCAGTTGATTTAGAAGATGGAAATAATTTGCGTTTCCTTAATGAGTACTGGAAAAAAATATTGCAGTTTACCAAGTGCCACCGATGAACTTGGGGAAAAAAGTCGTAGGATAATGGATGTTATTAAACCACAACGCATAAGTTTTCCCTTTTCTATCTTTACTCAGCGAGCTATAGGTCCAATTATTAAAATCAACTTGTACGAGATAAAGTTTTGTTCGTCACTTCGAATATAAAAAAAGTTGGCGTTGAAAATCGAGGGCAGTATCGAATCACATTACAGTCGCGAGTGTTAATTTTTTAAACGACGAATTTTGCGAAACTATGAGAGAGAAATCACCGATGCCTGATTTATTCAACATTTTGGTTATTTACGTAACAGTTAAATACGTGTGTGTCCTGTGTGCTTGTGATGATTTAAAGATTCGACAGAAATTTTACGAGCCACGAGGTGTGAAATTGCGAATGTAACTGTTTGGTAGGTTTCGTGAATAATAAAATGGACAAACATTTCGTGCAAAGTCTGAAATATAGTAAAAAAATAAAATAAAATAGTGAATAATGTTTTAATCTGGAATCCAAAGCTCAGTTCTAACCTTAGTTCTAAGTGTAATTTAGTCCCAAGTTACGTGTCGCTCGAACGTAGTCCTAACCTTGTTCTAATTCCTAATCAACACAGTTCAAAGTTACGGAATCGATGAAAGTCTAGGAACGACGAACCCAAAGGCCA